AATGTATTGTTAAATTCATTGAAACAGCTGCCATGTTAGAGTATTTGCGTGTTGCCATTCATTCCTTCTTGAATAATATAGGGATTAATGTATAATTTGTGCTGTCTTTACATAGAATCTGTAACTGGTCATAACATTCCTACATTCAAAGATGTCCCAGTGATTATTTGATTTTTAATCTTGCTTGTTCTTTATCATTTCAATATCAGGGATCCATCAGTAAAAAGGACACTATGTAAGACGTGTTTCTCACTCCTCATTCCTGGTATTACAGCTACCACAAGACAGAAAAGTAAGTTGAATAATGCTTCATCCATGTATTGTGTTGGGTAAGTACTGTTGAACTAAACAATGTTTTTATATTTGAAGAAAGAAAGTGCAAGGCCCGTTTTACCGTGACAACATGCCTTAGCTGTGGAGAGAAAAAGTCATTGAAGAATAATCCAGATTATATGTTATGGTCTGATCGTCCGGAAGCCCAGCTACAGGAACACAAGGAATCAAGTAAGATTGTGTATTATTATTTGTCAAGAAATTAACAAATAACTTAAAATATGACTATCATGGCCAAATATCAATTATCGTTTTGTTTTGTCCAATGCAGCATCTGGTTTGTCATCTAAAAATCAACAGAAAATAAAAAGTTCAGCCAATAAACCTGAAGGGCAGGTTAGAGCCGACCACTCATCTGAAGCAGGACCCTCAGGGGGAATTTAGAAAATACACTGTTGCTCCTCCTCTACTTTATTGAACTTTTGGTCTCTGTGAGACCGATGAAAAGATTATAGGTTAATAATTTTACATCCCACATATGTGTAGAAAAAACATTTTATTTTTTTGTCAATGACATTTTGTAATATATAGTAGGACCACAATAACTTTTTTTTTTACTAAGTAAATTTTCTTTAAACACCATGTAATGCCTTTAATCATTATTTTTTCTTTTTTTCTCCTTTGTCTGCCTTTGGGGCTCTGAATCCTTTCTTCTGAGAATAGAGGAGGTTCTTGGAAAATAGTTTTGGTATATGGCCCATAAATAGGAACAGGGCCAGCATCATACCTGGGGGAAGAAAGTAGATATTTTTATAAGGGTCAGCTCCAGTGTTTTGTCATTTCTAACAGTACTTACCTGTGACAGAGCTGATCCAGTAGACCAGGGCATATTGTAAATAGCTGAAACCTGGACAGTGGAATGTAAGTCCATAGGCCAAGGAGGGGTTGACAAACCCTGACGTGTAGTTTCTGGCTACAAAGAAAAGCAGAACAGTGAATTATCAAACCTGGGTCTGATCTGCTACTTAGACTGAGTTTATATTATTATAATTTCACCTAAAACCTACCCGAATGTGACAGGAAAGTGAGCAGCACAGCAATCAGAGGTATACGGATCAGAGCAGACCGCCGCCGAAGACTGAGGAGGATGAAGTGTAAAACCAAAGCACAAACAAACTCTGTGAAGAAACCCTGCACCAGAGACACCTTCAGAGATGTGCTGCATTCACTGGCCATTAGATTCTTGATCATATGCATGTCTGACAGCTCCAGTCCCCAGTAGGAAATAGCCACTAAAATGGCCAGGTGAGAGCCAAGAAACTGAACAACAAGAGCAAGCAGAGTGGTCAGTGTAGAGGTATCCATCTGCAGGTACTTCTGTAGAGACACAGAGGGGTTTCCTGAGGCTGCCCCACAGATGATCCCATGGCTCAAAAGCAGCACAAACAACATGGTCACAGTCACATCTTTACCAAGACCACCTGCCCATTCACCCACTTCTACTATAGTCTGCACCTCCAGCAAACACCCCACCAGCATGAATGAAGACGCAAACTCCAACATAAAACTAAAACGAGGCCATTTCTTTGTGAGGATCCGAATCAGAATAGCAGATATCACAACTACCACAAAGTATCCAAGAGATGCGTTTAATCCAGACATGGCTCAGGTAAATGGTCCTGCTTTGAATGAATGTGTAATGAATGAGGTCTGACTCTCAGTTAGACCTTCTCTTGGACAACGTGGCGCTCACAGAGGGACATTTCTTATCAAAGACACGTCAGGTTTTATTCTCCAAAACACCTGCCAAAATACACATGGACCACCGCAGGTCATGTCAGGAGGGTTGGCCCACACAATTGGGTCAATTGGTAAATAGTCTACAGCTTCGTGTGTGCGTGTGTACTATGCATTTAAATAAGTTTTAAATTTGTTATGCTTTTTCACAGAAGATGCAATATGTTTTCATTACAAAGTGTGCGCATTACATGCAAAATAATAAAGGTGTTTGTGTTCTAATATCACTGAACATGAATGCATTAAAAAGGACAAGATATGTATATTGACACACAGCATATTCAAGAGTGTTAATTCAACTCATATGTTGTTAATTTTAAACACTTTAACTATGTCATATGGGGTCCACAATAAAATTAGTTAAAACTACACTTTCCAAAGTGTATGTAAAAAATGGAAAACAATGAAAACCACCAAAAAAATTCCATTTCAACTTAACTTGTATTAAAAAAATGCACATCATACAATCAACACAACTTAAAACAAGTCATATGACACAATGCTATTTTTGCGAAATCCAACTGACAGCAGGAATTCTCTGTGCCCTCAACAGTTGGTCAATATGATTGTCATTTATTTTTGATGATTTTTCATTGCAAGCAGTCGATGGATGAATCAAGATCTTGTATTGAATGGAATTCAGGCATGCTCATCTCCAAAAATGAGAGGAGCATGTCTGACTGTTTGAAACAAGATCTTCTCTATTATATAAACAACAATAAAAATGTTCACAATAGCGGCAGCCCTGCTAATTATGAAACAAACATTGCAGAAACCTTTTACCTCAAGAGTCAGTCTTTCACTCTTGGGATTTCTTTTGACACATCCAACGTCCATGTTGTAGACAGTTCTTTGAATACAGGTGTAAAGTTTGTGAGAGTCTGAGGATCAAGTGCCTTGAAGTGTTCACCAAATTCAGCCAGGTCAACAATGACATAAAAAAGCTTTGTCCTTCCCACTTCAGTCACAGGTAGAAAGGCCGTCCAGGCTCAACCAGCAAGAAATGTGTCCATACTGATCTGTAAAATAGAGTATAGAATAGAACAAGGGTGTCAAACTCATTTTGGTCCGGGGGCCGTATCCAACCTACTTTGATCCTAAAGGGGCCGGATCAGAAAACTCATGGCATATAAACCCCAAAAACAACAAGTTAAAATATTTGTGCAGAGAAACGCAAATCTATTACAGAAATCTTTTTTAATTGATGAACTCTTTCTATTACAAAATATTATAATATTATGAAAAAAAAAATGCAATTTCAACACAGTGTTTTAACATTAACTTGTATGCAAATAGTAATTAGTAAATTTAGGGTGTCACATTCAACAGTCAAAATGATCGTCCTTTAAGAGCGTTTGGAAAGAGGCAATTCTTCATTTGTGCTGCTCTAGTGGGAGGGGCCATGCACAGAGGCACTAGAGACGTTGCTATGCTAAGCGGAACAGAAAATTACCAATATTTTAATAGAAAATATGATTAAAATATTTTAGTAGAAAATCAGCCGAGGGCCAGATTAAAGGTCTTGGAGGGCCGGATCCAGCCCCCGGGCCGTATGTTTGACACCTGTGGAATAGAATAAATATAACATATTCAAGTAACCACCTTGCAAAACGGGCTATGCAATATTTAATGAGCCATGAATAAAAATTAAAAAGTAAATATATAGTAAATATATTATGGTCCATATATCATTATTTGTTTGTTCCTATTAAGCAGGTTATTCTGTGGCATGAGCTGTATGTTTTTGTATACAGGAACCATTCAAATAAATAACTTGAAGGGTAATTTCAAAAAATTTAGCCCCTTAGAAAAGATTATTTTTAAATGCAAGACCCACAAGAAACTAAACACCTAACTGCCATTCATCATGAAAATAGAATGAGATTAAGGCAAAAACTACAACTACTAACACATTATAAAAGTCAATTATGAAATTATTGGTGAGGTTACATTTCAGTTCTACATTTAACCATTTCATGATATACCTGCAAATCTCAGATGAGATGGTTAATGGCTTGAGCCTTCATCTTTTCACTGTAGACTTTAGGAGCTGGGGATGCATGTGAACCAGCAGCAAGACACTCACCCCAAAGAAAATACAACAAAAGAATGTATCATTACTCTTTTTGTCTAAAGGTCAATAGCATGTTAAGACATTCTATTGGGTAAGACATTATACTTGAAGATATTTTATTTTTACAGAACACTACTATCCTTTTGATTCAAATAAATGTAATAATTTTCCACTTGATACAATATCCTACCTCAACACACCACACAAAAGTGGGCACGTTTATAAGCTACAATTAAAAGAAATGTCAATACAGCGAATGAATGCAGCCCCAAAGTGTGAAAAACACGGTGAAAACTCATTCGCTCAGCTAACGAATGCTAACCTGCCCTTCACTTCAGTATGGACCGGGCGGTCATTAGATTTTCGTTTGGAAATGGGGATCAGTACCGGGAGCGGGCAGAGATAGGGCCGTGTGAGGGCGTTTGGCTCGGGACTGCCTGAGATCGTGGACCCGCTGTTTGCGGTCTCCTCGAGACGGAGCAGAATCACTTGTCACGGGGCTTTGAGGGCTGCTCTACGACAATGACACGCAAAGCAAACAGACAAATCGGCTTACAACATAGTGTTACGATTTTGAATTTCCCATTTCAATACGAAAATCGAATGCAATGTGAATGAACACGGACCGAAGAGAGCCCGCATGTACATGGATGTCTATAGCGTTTTTTGTTTTTTTTTTGTTTTTCCCAAGTACCAGTGGAACATTATTCACTCTAAATACGCTACTGTGGTAACATTTGACAACTTAACTCTGTAAAGCATACACAAGGCTAAGCGCCAAGTAGCAGTTAATGCTAGCACAATGTTACGGTCAGACATTTGTACACTGTACAGTCCTAGTAAATTCAAATTATTTTACAACTAACATTTTACAGGAATTATATGTAGAAAGATAAAACGAAGACATTTCAGAAGTTTAAACTGACATGTGTCCCGCTCCTAGCGCAGTCTGGCTCGCATGTAAAATAACTGCCGTCTCGGAGTGCAGACAGAGAATGGCAGAAAATTTCAATTTTGGGGTTTATATATGCAACTACTGGCAACCATTTGAGGAGAGGCGCTGTAAAACCATGTAAAAACATGTTAAACCCGGACAACAGGTGATAACAATGAAATAAATGTAGGAGACATTATTTTACCACCAACATTTTTGTATTTATCACTTGAAATAGCTCATAAATAGGTAATAACTGTCCTAAATCATCGTATTACATACAGAATGTAGGGCACGTGTCACAAGCATTACAATGACCTCATGTATTATGACCTCATACATTTACTTGAGTACCATTTCATGTTTTATCCTCGTAATTGTATTAACTTTAAATGACAAATCAGAAGTTTCGTCCAGTTACTTTAACTTAAAGTTACTTGAGGAGTAGTTTCCCGAATACTTTTACTCTTAGCTACTTAACACATTTTTTGGACTTTTACCTTTTACTTAGACTTGAGAGATATTTTTTGAAGTAACTCTTACTCTTAGAAAGAACAAAAATGTGGCTGTTTGCTGCAGGTGTTCCAATCAGTAGGAGCAACTAGAGGGTGCTCTTGGAAAAAAGGATCAAGACTCAAGACACAACGGATTCCAGGCACTCCAAAACAGTAGAAAAAGTTAACACATAGCACGAGGAAAAATATAATTAAAAGGCCTTTATTTGAATGGCCAAAGCCAACACGTTTCGACCTTAACTGGTCTTCATCAGGGCTTAACTCTTACTCTTAATTTAGTACAATTTGTGTCTATTTCACCCAATTTTTTTGGACATCAATGACAGTAACATTGACTGTCACAGCTAAATTAGTTAGCTTACTGCTACTCAGTACTACTACTAGCATTAGACCAAATATATTTGGTATTTTTATTATATAAATTGACAGCAGAGTGTCCTAAAAAGGTAAAGTAATCTAACCCGGGGCATGTGTGAGCTCACGTGGTTGGACTTGAGGCTCGTTGAGGTCAGGTTCGGCTGAAAAACAAACGCTTTTAGCTGTTAGCTTTGCGCTGTTAGCTGTTAGCTTAGCTTCGGATGGTGAAATGTGGTTTCTCTGTGTAGCTCTCCCGCTGGAGGACTGGACTTTCTTCACTTTACTCACAACAACACCAACACCATGAATTAAACACTTCTGAATTTGCAAGCTCCTTGGTGGCAAGGCTCTGGGTTTGGATGAGATCCGTCCTGAGTACCTGAAGTCTCTGGATGTTGTGGGGCTGTCTTGGCTGACACGCCTCTTCAACATCGCGTGGCGGTCGGGGACAGTACCTCTGGACTGGCAAACCGGGGTGGTGGTCCCTCTGTATAAGAAGGGGGACCGGAGGGTGTGTTCCAACTATAGGGGGATCACACTTCTCAGCCTTCCCGGTAAGGTCTATGCCAGGGTACTGGAGAGGAGAATCCGGCCGATAGTCGAACCTCGGATTCAGGAGGAGCAGTGTGGTTTTCGTCCTGGCCGTGGAACACTGGACCAGCTCTACACTCTCCATAGGGTGCTCGAGGGTTCATGGGAGTTTGCCCAACCAACCAGTCCACATGTGTTTTGTGGATCTGGAGAAGGCATTCGACCGTGTCCCTCGTGGTGTCCTGTGGGGGGTGCTCTGGGAGTATGGGGTCCGGGGCCCTTTGCTAAGGGCTGTCCGGTCCCTGTATGATGACCGGAGCAGGAGCTGTGTTCGCATTGCCGGCAGTAAGTCAGACCTGTTCCCGGTGCATGTTGGACTCCGCCAGGGCTGCCCTTTGTCACCGGTTCTGTTCATTGTGTTTATGGACAGAATTTCTAGGCGCAGTCAGGGGCCGGAGGGGGTCCGGTTTGGGGACCACAGGATTTCATCTCTGCTGTTTGCGGACGATGTTGTCCTGTTGGCTTCATCGAGCCAGGACCTGCAGTGTGCACTGGGGCGGTTTGCAGCCGAGTGTGAAGCGGCTGGGATGAAGATCAGCTCTTCCAAGTCCGAGGCCATGGTTCTCGACCGGAAAAAGGTGGCTTGCCCTCTCCGGGTGGGTGGGGAGTCTTTGCCTCAAGTGGAGGAGTTCAAGTATCTCGGGGTCTTGTTCACGAGTGAGGGAAAGACGGAACGGGAGATTGACAGGCGGATCGGTGCAGCTTCGGCAGTGATGCGGTCGCTGTATCGGACCGTTGTGGTGAAGAGGGAGCTGAGTCGAAAGGTGAAGCTCTCGATTTACCGGTCAGTCTTTGTTCCTACTCTCACCTATGATCATGAGCTCTGGGTAGTGACCGAAAGGACGAGATCGCGGATACAAGCGCTCGAAATGAGTTTCCTCCGCAGGGTGGCTGGGCGCTCCCTTAGAGATAGGGTGAGGAGCTCAGTCACACGGGAGGAACTCGGAGTAGAGCCGCTGCTCCTCCACGTCGAGAGGAGCCAGTTGAGGTGGCTCGGGCATCTGTTCCGGATGCCTCCTGGGCGCCTCCCTCGGGAGGTGTTCCGGGCATGTCCCGCCGGGAGGAGGCCCCGGGGAAGACCCAGGACACGCTGGAGGGACTATGTCTCTCGGCTGGCCTGGGAACGCCTCGGGGTCCCCCCGGAGGAGCTGGAGGACGTGTCTGGGGTGAAGGAAGTCTGGGAGTCCCTGCTTAGGCTGCTCCCCCCGCGACCCGGCCCCGGATAAGCGGACGAAAATGGATGGATGGATGGATGGATGGATGGATGAATTTGCTGTGCATGTTGATGCTGCCAAATATTTCATGATATGCTATATCTGAGGCCACTCATTCTTACTCATGCATGACTGGTTATTGGCTCACACTCTGAACTTTATTTGACTTTCTTCAGATTGTGTCTAATGAACATCTTTTTGGTTTAAGCTTTTTTCATAATTTTTGGTAATATCCCACTAAAAACCTGTAAACCAGTATTGCAGTTCAAAGCTTCAAAGAGATCAGCAGGTCAAGTCAGACGTCAGAACAGTCAGATGTATGTAGATATGACCCCACTCACAGTGGTATACTATAATAATGCCACTTAAAGGTATTTTTCAATAAAAAGCACATTGTATTTTAACAAATACAAAATATGTTTTATGCTATAGTGTGGAATATTCCAAACAAAGCAAGGAGACAAGCTGTTGGCAGATCCTTAAATAGAAAAGTTATAGTGCAGCAAGTTTAACAAGGCCACCACACCTTAAAAAATCTTGGAACCTTAAACTGTGCCTGGAACACTAATTTTAGCTCTGTATCACATGCAATGAGAGGTTATTGAGGTTATGGTGGTAGGAATACTTGAATTTGCACTGGAAATTACTTACTCTCTGTGATCATTTGGGCCAATTCAGCAGAAGCCCGACAAAAATGGTCTGAGGCCCACATCTGGCCCTCGGGCCATAATATTGACACCCTGAGCTTCCCAATGTGATGTCTATTTTTCTATTTTCAGTATTGTTCAATGTTGTTTCTTCACCACGGACATCCCTGGAATTTTGTTTCATTCACAAGAGTTTTAAGAGTATTTTGTGCTTTGGAGATTTATTTATTATTATTATTATTTTTATTTTTTTTTTTTTTTCAGATTTTTAGATACAAACAAAAACGGCACCTTATACAGTAAACATGAAAATAAATTAAATGCATAAAAACACAACAGTAAATAAAAACATATTCACATATAAAAGGCGCAATTTCAAAGCGCTAATTTAAAGGAATAAATTAAAATAATTCAAAACAGCCTGGCACATGCTAGCAAAACGTTTCAGGTCATTCTTCAAGTGTGTTATAGTTTAATCTTAAAAAAAAAAAAGACATTTGTGAATAAAATGTTTACCTAAAATCAATAAATTGTTACCAAATTACATTCTTTAATACACCAAATTTAAAATTTAGACTTAGACAAACTTTATTGATCCACAAGGGAAATTATTTGGACACAGTAGCACACATCACAATGTAATATAATAAAGAGTAAAAACATATTTAAATGGTAATAATAAATTCTAAATGAGTAACAAAAAGATTGCAAGAGACAGGTGTGAAATAAGTCATAATTATATAAATGTATAAGTACATGTCAAAATAAAATAGAAAAATAAGTAATAAAATCTCAGCTATATACAAGAGTTCATGATATGATTGTATGATTTTATTTTTATTCATTTATTTATTTTTTATGTTTAGAGGAGCAAAATGAACTGAAGCCACGGCTGAAAATCAAACCAAAATTGTTGCACAAACTCAGATAAAAAGAAAATATGTTCCAGGAATTCACTGGAGCTTTGGAGTTGTAGGCAAATTAATAATCCAGTATTACTCAAACATGTAAGAATGAAACAAAACACCGCTCCAGGTATGATTCTGAGGAGGTAACAACATTTATACATGGCTTAAAGCTCACAAGAGTCTTTTTTGTGTAATATAGGACCTGCTTTTATTTTGCCCTCCCGGTCCTGGGCGTAGCGGAAGTGCCCCGGTGCTACGTAGACAGGGGCCGCCCCGTGGTTGGAGGGTTGGAGCTGTGGCCGCTGTCACCGGTGAAGTGATGGCAGTGGAAGAGCTCACAGCACTCACACTGTTATGAGAAGAGGACGGGGATGGCGGACAAACCTCTCACGCTCTTTGTGAAACTATGTGCCGCCGGGTTTTACGGTCTCAGCTCCTTTTTCATCGTGATAGTCAACAAAAGCGTGCTCACCAACTACAGGTAGCTAGCGGTGTATAACCACGCTGCTCTACATTTAATACTAGCTTTGTTAGCTCATACATAGATGTAAACTTGTGTTGGATCATGAATAGCGGAGGAAACTGAGTGGAACATATTAGCAACTTTTGGCTAGCAAGGAAGGAATGTGATGCAAAGAAGCCCAATAAGCTAACGCTAGTCGTAAAAATCACTGCTTAAAGTTTGCTTAAAATGCTAGCTGATTCTTGGGTAAATGTATTATTGTCTGATCTGTGCAGATTTCCATCTTCAATATGTGTCGGAATTGGCCAAGTAAGTAAACGGGCAGCATTGGTCTTCTAAAGGTTCATATCAACAGAGCTAGTTATAAGTTTGTAATAAATTGTTACACAGATGTTGGCTACAGTGGTCGTGTTGTGGGTGGGCAAGGCGGCCAGGGTGATCACCTTCCCCGACTTTGATATGACCATACCTCGCAAGGTAAAGCAATGGGAATGTACAGTAAACTTCTCCAGCTTCTCTTTTCTTTTCTCAATCTGGACTAATGGAAACAAACTTTTCTGATAATCAATTTAAATTGTTTTTAGACATTCCCTCTACCTCTTCTGTTTGTGGGGAATCAAATCACGGGGCTCTTTGGGACCAAAAGACTAAAGTAAGTTAGTCATGTTAAGACAGAAGACTATTGATTGTTTGTGTATGACTAGTTTGCATATTACTCATAATCTAATCCATTGCCACATCTCTCTTCTTCCCTCTAGTCTTCCCATGTTTACAGTTCTCAGGAGGTTTTCTATTTTATTCACAATGCTGGCGGAGGGCTATCTTTTGAAGTAAGGTTTCACACATAGCCTTAACCTTTTTTGTTTGTTTGTTTGTTTTCTCACACATTCATAAAAAAAAGTTTCATTGTTTCATTGTTGCGTATTGTTATCGTTGTCAGAAAGAAGTTCTCCAGACCGGTGCAGTTGACAGTATTCACTATGATCCTTGGGGCATTCATAGCAGCCAGGTATGTCCTCCTAGATCCAGGTGTGCTCCTATAACCATAACAAAAGTACTTACACTACAAAGCCCAGGCTCTACATGTCATTACACTGTGTCATTATATTACACCTGTAAACTGTATGCTGCCTAAAACGTATCATTACTGACATGATGCAAAATACAACTTTCTCTCATGTTTTCAGTGCTGACCTGGCGTTTGACCTACAAGGCTATGTGTTTATTCTTCTAAACGATGTTCTCACTGCAGCTAATGGGGCCTATGTCAAGCAAAAACTAGATACTAAGGTATGCCGCCTTTGGGCAATGTTTCAGTATTGTGTCCTGTAATCTTGTATTGACTTAGCATTACCACGTCACCGCATCAACACAGTGGCTTGAATATATTATTTTCCTTTCTCTGCATCAATTTAAAACTCTTCTAAGCTTAAACATCCTTCAACCACTTTGAAGTTTTCTACTTTTATTTAAAGGCTATATGCACCATACTCTGAAAAATGTCATTTGCTCACTGAAGATGATTTTAAAGTAATTAAGGAATTAAAATCAGATTCATTATTAATAATTATCATATCTAATTCATATAGTTATTGTTTTGTCCCTATCTTAAGTTACTTTTCAGTGGGTGCAGCAAGTACATTCTCTTTTTGTATCTCTATTATCAGGGATATTTATATCAGGACATTACAACATGTACAGTTCTTACAACCAGAATGTAGTGTTTGAGATTGTCCTCTTTATGTCACATGAGCAGACAGCCTCATGTTACTGCAGGGGGGATGACTGGCTCCATATTTAGTCTGTTATGTCTGAGAACACCATCTGCTGATTGTAAACTCAGAAGTGGGATGAGTAGCAAACAAATTACTCAAGTAAGAGGACCATTACCTCAAAATAATTTCTCTAAATTAGAAGCAAAGTTTGAAATAATTACTCAAATGGAGTGGTACAAAATTATTATCCTTTTTTATTCTATTGAAAAAGTATGAAAATGAACCGGTGTTTCCAAAAACAATGTTGATGGAAACTACTTTCTCATTGTGCTATAAAACAATGCATAAAACCTTAAGATAGACCTGCTCTTTGTCAGAAAATAATCAAATTTGTGCTTTGTAATATAATAAAACTACTCCATTACCAAATCTACATTAATTAAATGTAAATAAATGTGCTTATATTTCTGTGCAGCACAACAGAAATAATCTAACCATGACTGTTAAGCATGTGAGCTACAGTTAATAAAAGTTACATGGTTTATTCTAGGTAGAGCCAGCAGTGACCTGGTCTGACATCTGAATGCTTGTTATGAGGAATGCACCACAAATCGCTGTGAAAAGCTGCTCTGTTCTGCTCTGTTCTGCCTCTCTCATCTTTCCCTCTGGTTATTCCGCAGGAGCTGGGCAAATATGGATTACTATATTACAATGCATTATTTATGATTATACCCACTATTTTACTGGCTGAAGTGACTGGGGACATGCAGAAGGTAAGATCGTTTCACATAAGAAGCCAAACAAATACATATATCTCCTGCTAATAATGGTTCTCAATCTAAAGTTGAAGTGCTAAAGCTAATACTTAGAAGAAGTACAGTTTGGTACAAATTACTTCACACAGTAAAATGTATTTGACTGTTTTACTTTAAAATACAGTTTTGCAAAAACAGGTTTGTAAAAATCACTTCACCTTTGGGTTAGTTTTTAATTAGGAGACTTCCTTGTTCCTTGCCAAGTGCATAGGTTGAGGTGAACAGTAAAAAATTACCTATATTAGTACTGGTAAATACCACAAAACTTGACCTTAGCTTGAAATTATTGAAAAATAACCCTGTAAAAGTGGAATTAAAGTGTGCAATCCACTGTCCCATTGTTGGTTCTGACTTCCAGTACAGTACATTTCGCCGTCTATCCTGTTGGACCAAAGGCACATGTGTACAGAGAGGTGTGTCTCTCATTGGGCTGTGTAAGGCTCAGTCTGTCGGTCAGTGCTGCAGCTGGGGCCCAGCAGCAGTAGCACAAAGATGCCATTATGCTCCTCATTGGGTTATTACTGCACTCTTACAACCTCCCTCCACTGAATAAACTTTACAAGAGATCGGAAGTGCCTAGCTAAAAGCTTGTAGCTAGTCTCTGAATCATTAATGGCGACATGATATATCAATCATTCAGAACTAGATCTCAAATCATTTAACTTTTTCTTTATGTACTCTATAACGGGGGGCCTAAATTGAGACGTTTGATTTGGCTCTTGACATGAAACACTTTATTATGCTTGGCAAACGGGCTGCTAATGTTTAAAATGTGTAAATGTTTGCCCACTGAAGGAAGAACTGCTCTTTGGTATGTGTATTCACATGCACATTTTGTTAGATTGGTATAGACATTGTGATTGTGTCATCAAAGATCTACTAAATCCGTGGACATTTTAAGAAATTAAGTAAGAAGTATGGTGTATGGTATGATAACTGTATTAGCAGTAATAACCTAGCAGCTTATGAGTTTGTTCCGCTGTGTAACCTGTTTATTTTTTTTATTTTTTTGAATCTCTATGGACATTTTGTACATCTCCAGTGACACAATTGTGTTTGACATTCTATCCTGAGCTATACAGGAATAAATAGTTGGGCAGGGCAGAAGCTACTATCTCAGTCCAAGCTTTGACAAATGGAGACTTCAGTCATCAGGACATGATTCCAGTTAAATTACTGCTCTCTGGAAGCCAGACCAATAAATGCACTAATTTAGTTTTCATGTTCTCATTGCTAGGCTGTGGAGTATGAAGGCTGGTCAGATGCACTATTCCTCTCACAATTCATTTTGTCTTGTGTCATGGGGTAAGTTCCTGATTTATCTGTGGCTTTCAGAGTCATGAAACATTTGCACATTTTGCTTTTGCGTAGTAATTAACAATTAAAGATTATAACGATTATATTCTTTGAATTGTCTTAAAAATGTCACCAATAAACAAGAAGCTAAACCCATGAAAATTAATTAACTTCAAAAGTAAAATGCAAGATCTCACCTGACTTTGTTGTTTACAGATTTGTTCTGATGTACTCCACCGTGCTCTGTACACAGTACAACTCAGCACTGACGACTACAATAGTGGGCTGCGTCAAAGTAAATAAGCATTACTTAAACTTTAACATAAGGATGCAGTACATTGTAAAAGTTTAACTTGTGGTGTGTGTGTTTTTTGTTTGTTTGTGCTTTGTTTTGTTTTTCTCAGAATGTGCTGGTTACTTACATCGGGATGGTGTTCAGTGGAGACTACATCTTCTCATGGACCAATTTCATAGGCCTAAACATCAGGTATGTAACTACACCAAATGTATGTAAATATTGTCAGTGTCCTCGCCTGTAAAACTACAAAGTCAATAGGTCATAGATTTGTACATGCAGAATTGTATAGTATATTGTACTTTAGTTTAGTCTTTATTTTAAGGCACAGTGCATTATTTCCTCTTGTAGTCCCTAAACACATTTACTAATATCACCTCATTTTGATAGAAAGATTTGCAAAGCTGTCTGCAGAAAACAATAGGTTATACGGAGGTAAAAACTAGAGATGCAAGGGAAAGGTATTGCAAAAGTGTCTTTGAATATTTAGTAGGGGGTTGGACAAGATGAGATTTTCACAAGACAAGACATGTGATTGGGCCCACAAGAACAAGACAAGATTTTCACATAAATTATAATAAATAAGTTGATTAATTTCACCATTTTTTTACACTCATGTGTGCACAATCCTGTGGCGGTCTTGTGGCAATTTTATCTCTCAAGATCTTGGTGCACAAGATCTTGCCCCATCCCCATAATTTTGTATATTTTCACTGTGTACTGTGTACTTCATGGGTGTTGTTATGTGTTCAGTATTGCAGGCAGCCTTGTGTACTCCTACATCACGCTAACAGAGGATCAGACCAACAAAGCAAACGATAACAACAAACTGGACATTAAGGGCAAGGTCATTGTATGACACTGAAACACTGGATCAATTAATTTTTATGAAATGGACACCTCTATTTTTAGTACAGCTTATTTATATATGGTACAATGTTTAAGTGTTTCAATGAAATGGTGTTGAAAAACTCTGCAGCTGCCATAGAGCCAAAACCTCCCATACAGATTTGGGATTTTTTTTCTGATTTTATTTTTTATTTTAGAGATTTATTTAGATGTTTCTTTTTAGTGATGGTACTGTGAGTATTGACAGGGAGATAAAAGGGGAATTTACATTTTTATTAAGATGGTAATAAGGTAGATAATACAGGCACATGTAAACTAAGGAATATTGTGGAAAAGTGCTACATACTTATTGCTATATTTATTTAAAGACTTTGTATGGTGATGATTAAAACCAATATTTAGTATTTCATAAAGATTAATATGAAATAAAATCTCATAAATTTTATACCAGACGCCCTGGAGAATTTGGATTGGCATATAAGCAGGTACTTGCCATCCCTTGTGGCTTGTTTCATAATTATACTGTAAATGCCTAAAATACCCCTTTCCCTTTTTAATCAACCCATTTAAATAATTGTATGTTTCCGCAATATTCTAACCCTCTTGTGCCTTTGTAGTTTGCCAAAATGATTGGAAGTGACATAACTTATGAATATTATTTTAAAGGTCCCATATTACTCTGTTTTCTGATCTTAGTTATAATGTTGTTTCGTCCTCACAAACATACCTACATATTTTAGCTGAGATCTTTTCTCAAACTGAAAACACTCCATGCCACCTTATGATGTCATGTGGTAATACAGGAAGTGCCCCACTGTGTTTTTAAACCCCATGCAGTTAGACTACTAGAATCATTTGGATCATTTCATCCCTGGAATTGCAATCTCTACTGAACAAAAGGTAGAATGTAGCTGTTAACTTGAAAACTACCACTTCCTAACATCACAAGGTGTAACAGAGTATTTTGAGCTAACAACATTCTAACAGGACTTAAAGCTCACAAGAGTCAATTTTGTGTGATATAGGACCTTTTTTTCTGTTTTGCTGTTTACAGTGAATGCAACTTGGGATGCCTTCAAAGCACAGTGACATGCACTGTCTCATTTCTGCTGGTCTTTTTCCTTAATTATTATTTTGGTTGCACATATCTTGCTTTAGGCCTTTCATAGACGGACAAATAGATGTCTGAGATCAAATAGATGTGCCCTGTAGTTTTTCAGCCCTTGTGGTGTCGCCAGCCTATTTTAAATTGGTTGGAATGTGGGTAGGCATTTCCCATTGAGTATTGGTTCATTACTAACTTCAGCGTTTACATATCACTCCTTCAGTATTAGTGAATGTTTTGACTAAAATGGCTGTAGCAGATTCTCTATGCACAGAATAACAAGATTTTTTTGTTTTTGTTTTTGTACATGGAGACATTTTCTCTTTATCGCACTTTGAAGTGGTATTGGTATCGAGATCACGTTACTTTGAAAAGTACGAGGTTACTGTGCTTTACTGTTACTGTTCATTTGTATTTTGAGACTAGACGTTTAACAGTCAGGTACAAGGGTTGACTTTTTCTATATTTTGTATTTATTTTGTTTAGATACCTTTCAGGGGAAGTGTATTGTCTCAAACCCATAACAAAAGAGTGATTTATTTCAGTGTCAAAATTAAGATTAGTTTTTGTGAATAAGGTCATTTTGAAATTATATTATACATGTTTTGTATAAAGATTTTTACATTAAACATTTTAATACACTTTACGCTGTTTTCTTTGACATTTAATTAAAATAGCACTTTAAAGGCAAGTTGTATTCTGAAGGCAAGATCATAAATGCTTTTGAAAATCTTGAAGACTGTCAATGATAGAAAGTTATTATCTTTTTGAATAATTTTTGTTTTTGTCTTGTTTATAAGTTTTTTTGTTTTAGTTTCTTTTGTTTTTTTCACTGCGTTTTATAAATAGATGATAGACACATTATTAGTAAAGTATTTCCAAAATGAGCAAAAGGTTCCTATGGTGTGTATGAAAACATGGCTCCAAAAACCATACAATTACAGGTATTTCAGATATTTCAAGTTGGTTAAATAAATTCAAAGTTTATCCAGCCACTAGAAATGCAAGTTTTTTGCTACATAGTATTTATGTGTATAAAGCTTGATAATGTAATCTGCTTCTGACACACTGCTTAAAAACTGTTTTGATATCAAAGGGAACTTATCAGGGAGAACTGAACACTGACACCAAATGAAATAATAATAAACTTTATTCAAATCCCATCACCACAAACTGTACCTGGACCTGCTCACCTTCAACCCTCTGGGAACAGCGAGGGCATTTTTGCACAAAAATCACAGTGAAGCTTTCTATAACTTAAAAACTCAGATGGGTAAAACTGTTACTTGCATTATTTACACTTTGTTCAGCATAGCTCTAAAATCTGCCAATAGTTAAGCCCAACTGTACAATATGCATTATATAAAACCACAATTTTAAAAAGTATAAAACTTTATACTACAGATTAAAATAGAATACTCCAAATATTAAAAATAACTTACATTAGTAGTAAATATAAATTGCTGCTTTAGCTGTCCTTTACTCACGTTTTCATAGATCATTGTACAAAGACAAAGCGCATATATGGACTTAACTGTTTAAGGCAGTAAATTGCATTGTTTTTGCCAGAACCCTTGTACCGAGTGCATCTTTGTGCATAAGGCGCAATCACACAGTAATAATTCATCTACATAAGAACTTGTGGTGACTCCTGTAGGTGCTGTATTTTATCTGATTAACATGAAAAAACCAAAGACAATCAAGTTGACCAAAATGTGAATTCAGCTACCTCCACATAACCTACAACAAAGTAGTACTATATGGGAGCCACACATTTACGACAATAATATCCTCCACAGAAACAAAACTAGTTAATGTTTGACAATATGTCACACCACACTTTCCCTTTTGAGCTAATTGCATTTATAATGTAGTTAAGGTCATTTTGCATTTTTGTGCATATGTTGAGAACATACAGAGAAAATAGAATCTGGTCATTCAGGTCTGTCCTCTGTCACTACAGACCATCATCATACAGGACATCAATAACACAATCTAACAATGTTTTATAAATGAGTTAATAAAATCATCATCTTCCCCAAAATAAGACACACCCTGTAATCTGCAAACAAGTCCTGCTGCATTACTGTTGAGTACATTTACCATTTGTGCTTCACATGGAGAGTTAGATATGTGGAGATGTTTCTAGTCTCATAGCTGCAGACGTTTTGTAAGTTTGACCAACACTGGATCCTCAAGATGAACAGAAAGAGCAGGAGAGTTATGTGGCATCAATTCCCTTTCACTATCTACTCAAATAAATAGTAAAACGTACAGTGCAAAGATATCAAGTCGACTCTTTTCATCTAAATATATTTGGTGTCTTTCTATTAGCATCTACCTTGCTCTCTATATTAACCAGTCATGAAAAAACCAATGGTAGGCACTGGGTGAAAGGTGAGGTGTGACTCATGTTGCAGGAACTGATTGGGCTCATGCCGAGTTAATGACAAAAGGCAGCTCCACTAAAACCTCAGTGAAAACTCACATCCAATTATTTCCTGAAAAAGAGAGGTAAAATCGACCTTTACATCTATGGTAGAGGTACTGTGAAACAGAGACTTGTTAAATACATAACTTAACGCTTGAATAAAACAAAACAGTCCGGCAAATAGTGCTGACTACAATGTGACTAGATTCTCTGCCATGTAGCATAGACTGTAGAAGTTGCAGCCAATACAGCATAAGTTACACAGGGAGGAGAGCAGTCTGTAGAGCCACAGGCGGCTGCTCAGGTGCTTGTATTTGACATCGGTCTCACAAAGTTTGGCATAGGCTTCACGGTTTGATGACAACCCGATGTCCTGACCCAACCCACAGGACTGCTCAATGAGATGCATGTCAGCCATGATTTCTGAGGTCATTTGTCCAAACCACTGAGCATTAATGGCCGCAACTGTCACAGAGATGAAGAAGATAAAGATCTATGGGGAAAAAAGTGAAAATGTGAAATATATGTAAAGGATATATAGGTATATTATGGAAACAGAATGATTTACCAACCTGGAAAGACTCCCTCTCATCAAGCAAGTCACTGGGGTGGTACACAGCATAAATGGTGAGGTTGAAGAAGGCACAAGCAGACCCCAGGTGCAGATAAAAGGGTACCAGTCTGCTCTGAATGAACCCAAATGTGTGTCTGTTCAAGTGGTTGTCCATTACAAAACCTGTATGTGAAAAAGAAATTAATGAAATGCAAACTGTGTATTTACTTTTGGGTGCATATATGTCAAGTAATAAAACCGTAATAACATTAAAATTGGATGTTTTCGTAGGTGAACAGTTGTGGTACCCACTGGAGACAAACGTGACCCATATCTGCATGCCCCAGTAGGTGGACAGGAGCAGTAGCTGGACTAGTTTGACCGTGTAGGTGGGCTCCTGGTCAGTGGTCATCCTTTTTCTCTACACACTGCGCTGCTGAGCCTGCCCAAACAAGACACCTGCATTTTAATGCGGAAGTGACAAACACATGTGTAACAGACTTTTATGCTAAAGCTATCTGGAGCTATTGGCACAGAGTCTGAATGAAAAACATGCAATAAGAAAAGATAAACCCGGGAGATCCAGACGAGCGTCACGATAATGTTCTGGCTGAAGATAAATTAACTCTGTAACTTCCCAAACCTTCCCAAAGCTAGCGACGGACAGACGCCCGCACTCCACAGCAAAGTCACCTTTAACTCAACCACAGACGTACAACAAATAATAAACTTGTGATCAAGGAGTAATCAATCAAATGCATAATACCCCATTTCTAACGATAGTAAAACTAAAACCATACTAACAGTCAGCTCAACTGTTTTCTAAACTTTGGTGCAGTTAACATTAGCTGTTTGCACTGGAGAAACGTAGCAGCAGTGACTGATATTCACGTTTTATGGCGAGACGCTTACAAATGGACAGCACTATTGCATGTATGTAATCTAAAAACACTTACCAGAATTTAAATGCAATAGAATAACGCAAGTTACAATAGTGAGAAAGTTTTTTGTCAGATTCAGGTCCCACTGGTTTACTGTTTGAGTGGGCGGGGCGCTGAGTGAGCACTTCCTCAAGACAACTGTGAGTGTACAACTCATATACGGTCTGTGGTGCACAAGAGTGTACGTACCATATAGTGTATAAACACACACACACAAATGCACACACATACACACACGTACACGAACATACACCCTCCCCCCCACCCCTACATATGGTGTACACATCATGGATCTGTAATATGGTGTACGCTGGTGTAAACATGGATATGGTTCTATGTGTACACTATATCGTGTATAAAGACACACACACGGTGTACATCATGGATCTGACCATTATATGACATAAGCCTTAGTTTAAATTATAAATCTTGAATATCCTGGTGGCTATAAGTTAACTACAATGCAATACTTAGGCCTTTAAAATAAAGACAAACATACTGCATGAACAGATGTTTTATTAGTCAAATAGTTTATATTAAAAGTGGTTTCTGTATAGATATGAGCCAAAAAAAATATTACGCACCTTATAAAATGATATGGTCTTATAAACCCTCACATTTTAGAGGTTATACATAGACATCTGTATAGGTAGTCCTTATATAAAAATATGAAAGTTACAAATTATATCTTCAAGATATTTACATGTAGAAATGTAGTATTTAGTAGTGTATGTATTAATACAAGAACTAACAATTAATTAAAATGATCAGAAAGTAGACAAATAGGGGCATTAGAGCAAAACTTTGTGATAATTCACACTGACAAGACAACTCTGTGTGTAGTCTGTTTGTGCTTAATGTCGAGCAGTTTTGCAAATTTTGTCGTACACCTCTGGAAAAGCGTCTTTACAGCCCAGCTCCTCTCGAAGCCGATGATACAACTGTCCATCAAACATCTCCCAGAACTCCTCGCGGTCCATGTACACATCTGCATACAACATCTGGAACCTAAACAGGGATGGAGAGGATGATTATTTAGTAAGGCTATGTTTTATTTACATGATGTTGATTTCAGGAATTGTGTTTAAAAGCTTTACCCATGCACATCTCTGACAAACTTCTCCAGCTGTCGTGTGGAGGCTTTGGCTTCAAAATGTTTGACTCTGGGTTCTCCATAAGCTCCAATGTCCACATACAGCTCCTCCTCTTGGTCTTTGGGGTGGACCATGCCTCTGCCCAGTGGCAAAGTAAATGGACATAGCCACAGAGGATAAACCTAAGATTACAGAATTCATTTTTATCATTCTATACATGCAAGTGGAAAGAGTATAGTCCTCTGTAGTTCTGACATTTTTGCATATAAATCCCATTAAGTGTTACCTACTAGAGCTTTTTTTTTAACTACCAGTAAAAATAATGTAATATTAAATCATATTTATATTACTGAACTTAATGAATGTTTATAATATTGAAATTAATTAACTAACTTGCATGAGCATGAGTGAGTTTGGATAGTGCTAAAAAATTTATTGTAAATTCCTTCTTTGTTGCTTTGTCAAATATTAAACTTTGATGTGAGACAATTATGCCAAAAAATGTCTTGAGTGGTGTGTACTAGCATCACATGGCTGTATCCATAGACCACTGCCATAGCCATTAACAATTCAAAACTAAATATTAAAACTTCTGAATGATCAATTGTTCTCAAAACATCATAATATAACATGAAGCTGAAACCCATATATAAACTTAAACTGTCATTTAAGTTTATATAATACTCCTTACATTTATTTCTTGGTGGAAGCATGTGATGGCGTCCTGCAGATGCTTCATGGGCACGAGCATGTCCTGAACCACATGGTGTTGTTCATAAAGCTTACGAATTGTTTCCCCCTGAGTCAACTTCAGCAGCGAGATCTTCGGAGGGACCATCCACCCGAACAGCCAACGAAACACAGGGTTGTTTCCAAAAGGAATAATGTCCTACAAAAATTAACATGTATTTAGTGGAACATACTTGCAAACTCCCATAAATTGTAAATGTGCAATATTTTATATTATCGTATATGTTGTACCACTGCACTATTACAGTCTCTATGAATTTCAATTGATAGCTAGTTCTTTCTTTTCCCACCAGAGGGCTCTGTTTGGTCACTTTGTGGATCTCCAAATTTTTCCCAGACTATCTGAAAGCCTGAAGGAAATAGGTTCCTGTTCAACTAGCGCTATGCATTATTTATTAGAACTTTTTTTTTTTGGAGGCCTAGCTCTATCACTAATGGCTAATGGTGCTTGTACAGTAGCTCACAGTCTCTTTGTAAGCCATACTGCATGTATTCTAAATGTGAATACAGCATTAAAAACATTTGGAAAAGCAGCTGATGAGGCATAATAAAACAATGCAGCACAAGCCAAGAGTCATAACTACTATGTTAAAAAAAATTGCTTGAAGTTACACTTTGTAAATGTTCATGGGGGGCCATAGACTGTATAAAGAAATGGACTAAGAGAGTGTGACATCACCCAGTGCTCGGCTCCAGTCAAATGAAGATTGCGATGTTGGCAGTTATGTGGCGAATTTGGAGCCAGGCTCCATATCAGGAATAGGATTTTTTTTTACAGAAAAAACTGTGAAATAAAAACACCAGGATCATGTAAAGCTGGTTAATATGGACATTTTAAGACCAAAATGACGAAGCTGTGAGTAATTACTGAGAGAGGGGTGCAATATTCCTTTGTAAGTCAATGTGGGCGAGAGTTAGAAGGAGCTGGAAGCGCTTCAAGCTAATTTACTATTTGGAACATGGCAGCTAGTTCGTTGGCTATGTCCACTTATATACAGTCTATGGAGGAATGTCCACCACCTCCTTATCTGGATGGAAGTGTTACAGCTTTACCTAGAATGTTTAAATCAGGGGTGTCCAAACTATGGCCCAGGAGACAAATGCGGACCTCAGATCCTGCTGAACTGGCCCAATAATATAATACACAGTACATGGACAGCAAATTTTAGAATCTCTCTCACTGTAACCTCACTAACATCACATCGCATTGTGATATAGATATAAAATTAGTGTTTCATCTTGTAGAGGTGTTGTGGCTGCATCCAACCTATGTAAACTGCATCTATATGAAAGCCATTCTGTGTTGACTGTCTGCAGCCCTCAAATACAAATTTCTACATGTTTCTATATGTGGTCCTGGATGAAAAAGGTTTGGACATCCCTGGTTTAAATACAGTATGCCATTATACTAATGTCTCCATGGAGGCACTACTAAACCAGGCTCTTTGGAGACCTGCAGGTGGCAGACCTGGTGAGATATCAGAATTCAAATATCATACATTGCCCCAAATACAAAAAAAACATATTAAACCTTCACAGGGCCTCACAAGTCATACAAATGTCAAATGTCCCTTTGTCAGTGCTATCAATGTCACCTAATGTTTTACCTGTTTAATATAAAATGTACCTGTATTTCCCAGAAGATGCTGCGTGTGTGTCTGTGGTAGTAGTGTCTCAGTGGGATGTATTCTACTCCAGAACTGTTTCTTTTCAGGTATCCCTCCACGTGTTTGAAGAACCAGGGTTTGAAGTGCAGCCCAATTCTGTTGATCTGAGAGAGACAAACATATGTCACCCACAACTGTGTGCCAAAAACCTTTTCCCTTAAAATGTCATTATTTTTCTTATGTTAAATTTCTATTACACAAGGGCAAGTTGGAGAAAAGAATGGAGTTGGACGATTAAAATATTAAAATAATATTTTAGCATTTTCTATATATGGCAGAGATATGAATAATTTCCAATAATAGTGAACCAATGAGGCCTGCCAAGCCAACTCATAGATTTCAGGTTTTGAGGGCTTTTCACCATTCAAAAGGTATAATATTACTCATATCCATGAATAGCTAATATGTGTCTGTGCTTACAGTGTTTTTTCTTTATTAGATAATACACCAAATTTCCTTTATTAATTCTTTGATTATAAAGACTTGTCACTAATTTCTCCAACAATATGCAGTAAATATACAGCTTTCGTGCCAATGTTATTTTTTACAAAGATACAAACTGATTACTTTACCAAAACTAATTACCTTATCTGGTTCGGCATGGTCCGTCATGGTTCCTGTCATTATCACAGCTGAATCGATCGAGTACTGGATGCCCTCCACAAATGTGTTTTGTTTGTTTTGGGACGCCTCTGTGAAGTGTTTACAGATGTTGTCCAGGCCCTGCACTGGCTCATAACGCAGCTTCACCCATGATTTAGCAGGAACTATTTTGATTTCAGCTGCAACAAGGAACCCCAGTGTACCACAAGACCAAGGGACCGCATGGAAGAGGTCGGGATTTTCCTCCTGGGATAAGAGAAAAAATGTTTGTTTTTGATTGTTGAATTATTAGTTATTTGATTATTAATTATTAGTGTATTTCTACTGGTTATGTATTTTCTTTTTCTTATTTTATGATTACGCGTACGGTATACAAGACCTGTCATAGCAAGCTATTCTACTGAAGCAATGGCAAGGAAGCTACTGGTAGTAAAGGTGAAATTTTGTTAAAGAAAAGATTGTAGAATTTTATATTTAAGAGATAAGGTCCAAAAGGTTAGATTAAGTTTGGTCAAAATATGGGGTATCCAATAAACAATAAAATGAAACTGACTGATATGGGAGAAATGGAGGATGCAGAGGACAAGGTTAGATAGAAGGACATATTTGTTCCAGTGAAAAACAAGAAAGCGCTATATTCTATGTGATAAGAGGACGATTAGGTTCCTAAGATTAGATCCTGTCCTGCATCATGAGTGCTTCATCAACAAACCCACACATTAGCGGCCTCAAAGCGCTCACCACTCTCTACTTGGAGATGGAGTCCTTTCTCCTTGGAGCATCAATTAAAGAATATTTGACAGACCACAGTGCACTCAGACTCAGTGCTTACCTCAGTGCAGCGGACCAAACTCCCGTCGGCCAACACCAGCTCATAAGCCACACAGATGTGCTGAAACAGGCCATAGATGTGAGAGGACGACTCGATGCCTGTGCCCATTACCAGCCCACCTGAGAGACAAAAAGACAGCAATTATATCAATTTCAACAAATGGTGGAAAATATTTTTAGTTAGAGTTATTTTGCAGTTTTGTCCAGGATTAGTTTACAGTACACTTAAGTATCCTCAAAGTAATGTATAAAGCAAAGTGCAATGTATTCCCAGTAAATATTCAAAGACTGTCTGAGATGAAAAGAATCCACAACAATTTAAAAGGAACTAACATGTTAAAAAAACCCAGATTCAGAACCGAGCATCACTGTGAAAGGAGTTAACTTATGGCATAGTCTTGACAAAGATATAAAAGAATCAAGTACAATGATGGCATTTAAAAAACACATAGAATCTAATGCAATGTGTACATATGAAAAAGGAAACTAAGTTGTTGTGCAAAATAGTGACGATTTCTGTTTGCAATTGATTAATAACTGTGCCTGAATTAAAATGTACTGTTTTGAAATGTTTTAAAGTAACCACCAGTGTTGATGTATTGTCTGGAAAAGGGAAAAGGGGGTAGATAACATAAGAGTACTCTTCTTTCAGCTCCTTTTCATTCATTTGTATATTTGATGTTGTGACACTGTTGATGTCTTTTTATATTATATGAATGAAATAAAATAAAATAAATAAACAAACAAATAAACATAAACACTAAACATCCCGAACCAAATGATGCAATGTACATATTTTACATGTATGCAGTTTTTATGTATCATGAATTTATACAGGTTTACTCTCTTTGAATTCATCTAACTAATCTGACATGGCTGAGCTGCTATCACTGTCACCTCACAACAAAATTATCCTGTGCTTGATTCCTGAACCTATCTGTTGTGACATAAGGCCAATTCTCCACAGAAGAACTCTTGACCAAACCTTACCCAAGATATTTTGGACTCCACATGTTGCCTATTGCTCCTGACAGGTTGACCCAATGATGAAATAAACTTTAAGCTTAACCTTTGCACAAATATACCTTGTTTTCTGCCCAGCTCAATCACCATTTGATAAAAACAGAAAAGGAGAATTGTTTTCTGTTGACATGTACTGTGTGTACCTGTGTGAAAAATGAAGCTCCTGATGGGAAAACATGAGATTGTTTATGCTGCATTTATACCATTAAGAAATCCATTATGAAACCTGATCCACATGGGTTTCCAATGTGGCAGCCATTTCCTCCCAGTTTCATCTTTTGAGCTACGACATCAATCTTCTAACACAATTATAGAAATCACTAAAGGTCCACACAGGATACAGTGACGCGGAGGAAATGCCTAATCTGCATCACAATTATTAGTAAATCTATTTCTATCTAGAGCAACAGATCAACCCCTGTTCGTGATTTCCTATAAAATAATTATCTAAAGACACTCAAGGGACTGAGAAATAATGTTTTACACTTTTGTAGTTCAGTATCTGATAATACAGAATGTTTCCGCACATGTGCACGGTTATCCACGGGTTTCAGACTGATGAAAAATTAGAACAACAACAACAGACAATTTAAAACAAAATATTATCACATTTTGAATGGTGAAAAGTCTGACAATTGTTATCTATAACAGGATTCAGAAACCCATGAGTGGGATATATTGTATTTTTAATAGGATGTGTGTTTATTTTTCATGTAATGTTTTTCATTTTAAGCTAGCTCTGTTTTAAATCTGTTGTAAAACCAGGTAAACAAACACTCCTGCCTGTCCAAAAAAAAACAACAAAAAACATATTATATATACACAGCAGATACAGACACATATATTCTCTGTGTGGGTGTTGCCAAGTCTCATACCAACAGTGAGGTCATCAAGTTCAGGCACCACTGGAAGAGTCCAGCCTATTGAGTTGAGGAGAGCAGACACCTGTCCCATGTTGGCCAGAGGTTCCACTCGCACCACCTAGAACAATAACAGCATTACAGTTAAAATTAAACTATGAGCACTCTGATGCAAAGTAATATGAAAGGCTGTGTAATCATGTGACAAATTCATGATTAGGGATGCACCATTATCGTTACTGGTATTGAATCCATGAAACTTTGCTGGATCAGATATCCGCTCCAAAATATCTGTTCTGCCAATATCATGTTTGGGTTTATAAATCCATGTAATAAGACTATTCATTGGTCGTAGTTGGTTTAGAAAGTCTCATAATGTTTGAGCTTTTAATGGAAAGTAATAACAGCTACATAACACATGTTGTCAAACAATATTTTTAGTCCCTGCACTGGTTTCGGTTGATTTTGGGTTATCAGAATTGGTTTCAGAACTGAAAAAGCCATATCGGAGTAGCCATTTTGACAACTTTGCTCCATTAAAAATGTATTTTTTGTTAATTGCTTTGGCAACAGTGCTAATGTTTTATTATTCTGAAAGCAATGGACACAATGATGTTTAGTAGGCCTACTTATTTTTAAAAAAAAAGTGTTTACACACTCATTCATGGGGACGTGCTGCCTTTAGAGGACAGAAAGCAGGTCCCAATGACGTAAAATCTTTATTATTAGATCAACAGCATGGTTTTAAGTTAACGTATGGGTTAAAATAGATTATGGTTAGGATTTAGGTTATAGTTAGGAAAGTATCAATATAGTATAAGGCCAAGATCATTCACAAGGAAATGCATGGAAGGCAAAAGCATGGAACCCAACATGTGTTACCTGTCTGTGTGTGTCCACCTCCAGGATGTCCATCATGTTGATCATGATGTTCTTATGTGTTTTCTTGTACTTTCCAACTCGCAGGGACACTGTGAGCCAGCCAGGCCGACCTGTGCACATGAACTTTTTACCCCCATCTTTTCTCCACTCACGAACCTGAAAAAGTGAAGTTACCTAGTTAGTTAGTGCAGTAACATGCAAGCACACTACACATTCAAATTATATATTGTGGTGCTATCCTGTACACTTGTATTGTCTGTATTTTATTAAGAGATGTCAAAAAATGTCTTTCTTATCATACTGTGTGTGCTTTGCAGGTTATGTCTCTCTCTTCATGTGATAGAAACTTTTTTTTAAGAAAAAACTAGACTCAATAGTTATAATGGAAGTAGCAGACTTGCAAAGATGTACTGAACATGTCTTATGCAATAACAGGAGCAGAGCCGATGCAGCATGCTACCATGAAATAGACTTGATCTCCAACATTCATAATTGGCTATTACTGGTGCTGGTAATAACAAAGTCATACAGTTAGTTAATACATTTATATTACCAATTCCCACAATACACTGCCCTTGAATGCATGCAATTCTAAAAGCACAACTCACACAGAGAGGAAAATACTCACCTGACGTTGAATGTCTCGCACGCGCTGATCGTGAAGTTTTGGGGCAGAACACATTTTGAAGATGATCCATGCGCGCACATAATAATACACATCAAATATAACGGAGAGGGGTAGGAGAAACAAACAGACAAATATCCAGCGCTGGTGCACGATCACGTACTCTACACCTTTGATTTTGATCCACACTAGAAAAAGGACAACCAAACCACCTAAATAAAAAAGCGAATCCATCTTTTGAAGCGTCTGTAGTCCGAAAGGCCATCAGATTTTAAGTGACATTTGGTGGAGTGGGTTCTTGAACTCTGTATCGATTATCATAGAAGCCGTGGCTACTATAGGTGTGCTGAGCGCTGTGGTCACTTCATCCCGCCTTACTGCATAGTCATTGGCTCTTGTTCGCAGATAGGCGGGCACATACGTCTATCCAGTTCGCCCATAGGCCCAAAATGTGGCTATCTTCATTTCTGGAGCAATAGTGTCAATGAACTTGAACCAATAAGGAAGCAGTAACACAGTCACACCATGCATCTGGGCTACTACAAGTAAGTTAGTGGTGGTTACAACACCGAAGTATTATTAGCATGAAATAGATTTTTCTCAATTGTTAATCAGTTGACAGACATGCCTGACTTGGTTGCAAAACATAAAACTAAATTTTCTTTCAAACCAAATATATATCCAAAGTAACCCTATTCTCTCTGTGTAACAGGATTAGCAGCACGAAAAGTAGTCTTTGCATAAGTCCGGGGAACATTGGTTTCCGTGCTTAGAGCATGGCACAATGTTAACCATAGTAAAATTATGAGTGTGGTTCTTATTTTCTATCTGTAAACCTCACAGAGCCAACTGGAAACTTTGACTTATGACTTATGAGCTAGTTTTGGTATCATTTTTGACACGTGTGTTTTTGCACTGAATTAAATTATGGTACTTTTTTTTTTTTTTTTACTTTTTCCATTTTTTACTTTTTCTGATGTCCCTTTTCCCGTTCAACTTGAAGCCCTCGCGCACGAGCGCGCACACGCGCAGGGCTAAAGTGGTCCCCTTCAGACACATTAGACAGAGGGAGGGTGGGGCGCCAGTAAAGATTTCTTAATGTGCTCTCCGTCCTCTCGTCCATCTGCTGATGATACACACTCAGCTATCCGCCTGGCTACTCCCTCTGCCGAGGTGTATTCTCAATATTTTGACTTATTGGAAACGGGGACTTCAAAATGGGTCTTTGGATTATATCGACAGTTTTATGCAAATGCAACACTTCTGACTACAAACAATTTAGGAATATTATCCTATAACGGGATTTCTGCAACTTTGGAGCGGCGCGTCATTACGCATGGATGAGGTTCTCAATGGGACACTCTTAGGTTTCTAAAACTCCTCTCCTCCGGTAAGATGCCCTCTTTGCACCACGGAGCGATCTTCATCGGAGCGTTCCTTATCGTGACCGGGGGCTCCACCGCCTTTTTGACCTCATACCAGAGCCGGTTGCAGGCTTTCTCTCTGTGCTGTGTGGTGCTGGGGGTCGTCATGCTCATCCTGGGGCTTTTCTGGGCTATGAACAGTAAAACGACCACGAACTACAACCATCAAGAATTTGACCCGGAGTGCCCTCACTATCCCTATAACGAGTACCCCAACTTCAGCAGCCACGCGCTCTTCTCTCCTCCGGGCCGCCGCTTTGTAGAGTCACAGTCAGCCTTTCTGCCAAGGTGAGAGTTCTTATTATAGCCTTTTATATTTACTCATGATGGTCATCTTAGCTTATTTAATATACAGGATTTTTTTTTTTTAAAGAAACTGTAAAGTGTTTTTTTTTATATTCTATCTGGATAAATTGTCGCATGGATACACATCATAAATAAAATTGCCTGTTAGGTGGTTTGCTACTAAGTTAGATAAACAAAATGGTAATAATAATCTGATCGAATGGATGATCATCTTGTTTTACGTGGCCACTGTTTTGCACTGGTAATATAATTTTTTTATGGACTGGTAATAATTATTGTAATATATGGCTAAATATAAGTTATTACTACCAAGTTCTATCTAAATTATGCATATGACTGGACATAGATGATGTACTGAGGCAGACTACAAGAGTATAATCTTGTACAATCTGTGGGCATTATGCATCTACAATTGAAACTTGACTCTGGTGCTATCAAATCGCTAAAACCACAGACACAAATCAATGTATGTTTGGACGATGTTGTACTTACAATAAAATGTGATCGTATTTTTAACAGGACCAATGAGCGTCACAGATGTGGAGCTCATAGGGAGGATTTCGACTACCCTCCAATGGACCAGGGTGGCTTCAGTCCCACACCCAACCCCCCCCGCCTTGGCTGGGACCTCCACCTCCATATGAAGTGGCTATAAAGACCACATGTAGCTCCACTCACCTGCGGAGGGCATACTCTGACACACACCTGGCCTCAGAACCACTGTTTGGACAATCCAGGGAGATCAGCTTTGAGGTGTAAAGTTTCACACTTGATCCAAAAAAGAATTAACTGAAAAAGAGACATATACTTGTAAACGCATGCAAGATGTGATGGAGATACTGTGCAAAGTGGCCTATAAGAAACAGAATAAAAAAGACAATTGAGTTACAAAAGTCTGGCCATAATGAGACAAAGTGCACTAAGAGGTCCATTTAAGGGTTTTCAAACTTAAGTTTTGTCCAAATGGTGCGAGAAAAAGCACAATGGTACCTAACATTAAGCAAAAAAGCTTGCAACAAACCGTTAACTATCATTAATCATTACGTTCTTAGTAATGGAACATTAACTTATCACATTGGATTGCATATAGGACATTCTTTGAGACTTTACATTACATTTAAGAAGAAAGGGTCTATGATTATTGTTTATAAATCCAGCCTGTCACTACCAAGTTTGCCTTTTCATCCCTTTTGTATTATGATGTTTTGCACTATACAATCTTTGTACCACAGTTTAACTGACAGAACATTTTGGTTTTAGTAATTAAGGTACTGCAACTTCTTCAATAGTCCACATATATGCATGTATGAATTGCTAACCCTAAACTACCCTGAGTGAATGAATCTGAATGTGTCTCTCAGTGTGCATTTTAAAACTAAAGGCCCATAGCTGTTGGTCGGCTCCAATTACAACCCCTAATGACAATCAGAAAAACATGAATGAAAATGCATGAAACACAAAAGGAAAATAAAGAACCTGCATTTATGTGGCAAAATTATCACAATATAAGGCAGATTTGGTTTCAGTATAGGTAAAGTGATGTGTTTAAAACAGGTCCCTTACTATGAGAAGCTCGCACACATGTTGAGGGTAAAGGATGGATGACTCACCCGACCAAATGATTTTTCCACTGTTCATCAGAGCAGCATGAGTTGTGTAAAATTTTGCACTCTTTCAAAGCACACAAGCCTTACACATATTTTTATATATCAGAATAAAACTGTTCAGAATACTACAAGACTGTAGCTTTAGAGAGAGTATGTGCATTACGGTTACCCCTGACTTTCCGATGAAGGAGGATATTGATTTTGTGATAAAAAGGAGTCCCTGCTTGCCTTTGGGACCTCTGTAACAGGACGCCCCAGCTCAGAGGATCACCACTGAAGCACTATTAAAAGGTGAGATGGCACTCAGGCACATTTCTGTTGCTCTACAGATTTAGACACAAATACAGGATGATTATGCATGCTTATGAATCCTCGTTAGCTCTAAACCTTTACCTCTTTGCATGGGTGAACTTGTCATTAATAAATCATAGATGTGATCTCCCATATCCCTTTGTTGCAAGATATCTTCTTTGATTTCTTTTGGGGTGTAGGGTGCCTATTAAAACTCAAAATTAATTGTCTCTATTTTATTAAATGTAGCCTACTTTTGCCATTCTCTTACCATTTTAAATACACATTAAATTTATGCCATACCTGTCATGGACTTTTTTTTTTAAATAAAAGTAACAAATAATTATAATTCTCTGCAAGGAGCCATACATACCTAGAGGCCTATACATATAAGCCTTTAAGATTGCTTTTATAGCCTAGTTGTAATTTTCACTTCAAGATTCCTCATTCTTGGCTAAATCTAATTCATCTGGACTTGGGATCTCTGCTTTGAGCTAATGCCTTTTCTTGGCATTTTCTCATGCCAAGCTCAATACAGCTCCAAAGAAGACACAGAACTTCTTTTTGTAAGTAGTTTGTCCCTATACAGATTTTAGTTCTTCTCTCTGCCCCGCCTCTCCTCCATTTAAATCCCCTCTCGCCAAAATCACTTCCTCACTCCTCGCGCGCACAACTGCCACCTCTGCACCACCGCTGTTGCCATTCCTGCTGTGGACAACCCGAGTCTATCCCCGACCCAGCCCACCGCGAGAAAGCTCTCTCTGCTCATTTACGCCGCTCTTCTAACAGCTCCACCACCGGATATAGGTTATGCGCAGAGCGAAAACCGAGCAACAGGAGACAAGACAACGACAATGAGGCTAGGAATATTGGCACCGTTGCCTTGGTGTGGACACGCACGGGCTTGGCTGATGTTTTGGCAAGCGTTTTACGCGGTTAAAAGAAGGAAGTAGCCCGAAAAACTATCAGGAGAAGGAGATATGGTTAGGACGGCAAACGGGATGTCGGTCCACGCATCCTAAGGTAACTCAGGGTGGTATGTCATTGTGATGTGAGATCCAGACAGTTTCAACCTTATTGTCGCTTTGCTTCTTGTTTGTTCCTTTCTAGCAGATTGGCTGCTGTTGGAAGAGAGCTTGCCCAAGAAGCGCAGAGGTCCCATAATGCCTATCCCCCAGGGCGCGCTCGTTGGCCTCGGGCTGGTGCTGACAACAGTGGGGGTGGTCGTAACTATCATTTTGGGTTTGACTGGACCAGTTCCCATGTTCGGGCTTGGGATGTGTTTATCAATGGGAGGTGTTGGGATCTTAGGGGTGAGTATCTGCAGAGCCATGAAGAAGCACCTGGTTCCGGGCGTACCGGGACACTTTCTCCTGCACCCGCGGACTGGTACACGCTTCAGCCCTCAACAGGGTTTGGCCATACAAAGGTAGAGTTCAGTCTTTCAGAAAAATAACATTTCTTTATACTTAGCTTTGCAGTTCTGGGGTGTGTCCAGGAAATAACATCACCGTGTGTGTGTGTGTGTTTAATTTGCGGTACTAGTTTTAACCCAGATGCTTTCTAGAGGCAAATGATTAAAATAAATGCACAACCCTGACAGTTGCTTCCAAATTACTACACTTAAGCAAATTATGCCTAATATGTTATAGCAATCTAATTACTATTGGCTATACATTGTTTTTTGGCTCTCAGTTATTAAAATCTACAGTGCCCTTAGGCATTATGTTGCGACAGCTGCCCTGGGGCAGGTAAAGAGAAATGTGGCAGCCTATCTGTGCCACTGTCCTGGCTAATTTCCATTTGTGATGATGGTCAGCTTCCCATGTATTTGACTACAAGCTGTTGCTACAGAGCCATCAGTACCTCTACTGAGATTTATGCCACATACGTAAACAATGTGTGCTTCCGTTGTGTTTAATAATCTAAATAAAACAAAGAGACAAACTCCAGACCGTACCATCTCTGCAGACCAGCTGACAAATGTCTGAGCTGTTTGCATGTACGTCATTCAAAGCTTGTTCTGCTCTGACAATAAGCAGGAACTCACTCTAATAATTATGATTTGACTTGAGAAAAAAAGAGATTTAGTGATAAAGCATAGGTCATAGTTTGCATAAAGGTACATGGGTTTACACTGTTATTGTATGGCGTAATCTATGATAGAAGTAACATTTCAACAAGACAGACTCTGCTTCTCATCCAGAGCTGTAAAACACAGACCAGAGACAGAGTTTCCATTATCTGAGACTTTTCTAACTCCACACAACTCATTTAAACAAAGCATTACCTAATATCATTTTTGTGCAGTTTCTTGTGTGGCAACCAGTACATTGCCATTATATAAGTTTAAGGTATTCTTAACTAGCCCCACTTTTTCTCCTATGGCTACATTTCATCCACAATTCATTTTCAGTGACATAAGATAGATATGCAACCTGAATAACTTTCTAAGAACAACCTTTTGGAGGATTTTGTTAATGCTTGTTTGCCTATGACTACTAATTTTACTAAAACACAGTTACATTCATTATATTCAAAAAAAAAAAAAGCCTATTTTTATTTATTTATTTATTTATTTAATTTTACTTCCTGGTTGAAAATCCTGACCTGACACTAGGGAATTATACAACTGTTGCCTAGCAACCATGTATACACTGGGCCAAAACTCCTCTAATGTGCATAGAAATTATTTTTTGACCAAAAAACAAAAACAACAAAAACAACAACAACAAAAAAACACATTTACCTTGCTGAATAAAAAAAGAAAAAGATTTTTGCATGTAAATTGTGTTATGTCTCTAGCGCAAACATAGAATTCTCTACTTCCTGTAATTTTCAACATATTTTTTTACTTTTCTTCACAAATTATATATAAAATTATAATTTATATTTACAACAGGTATTATCCCACCAAATATAGTCAAAATTTGAGGATCATATGCACTTTAAGTTTAGGAAAAGAATAAAATGAAATAAAAATAAAATCTTAAACACAGGCTAACTCCAAAGAGAAAGGCTGGACTTATTTGATGTTATCTTTAAATTGTTATCTTAAGCTCTGCATTTTTCTTCTACAGGAGGCTGGACCGTATCCGGAGAGAAATGTCATCAGATTCGGTCACCAGGGGACCTGAACTTGACCCCCCGGCCCCCTCCACTCCTCCACCCTGGACCATGGAACCACCACCCTCATACGACACTGTGATGAAGATCCAGGAGCAGAGGCAGGAGCAGAGGCAGGAGCAGGGCCAGGAGGAGATATGGAGGAACAATGAGGAGGAGAGCTGGAGAGACAACCAAGAGGAGAGCTGTGCATACAGAGAGGTGGAGAGAGAGGAGGGGCATAGTGAACAGTTAAATGACTGCAGTACTGTCACAGAGGACTCCAATCAGTGTTAGTGCCTTTGCCTGTGCCAGCAATGGACTCAAAGTGCTGACAGAATGAGAGGAATAGTTTATTACAGTATTTTGTAAAAGTGGTTACATCTGATGCATTTGAAATGGCCTTGTCACTTGTCTGTGGTAGTCTATGCAGGTATGGAGAAGCAGACAGGTTTAGTAAACTTTTGGTAGCCTTTTAAGGTTAATGTAAGCATCTTTCACCAATGAAGAAGGTTGTGTTAATCCATGGGTCTCCAAAATTTTGCATACAGTGAGCTACCTTTACAAAATGAAAATGCTGGAGAGCTACTCATTTTAGCGGTTGCAAGAAATTAATTTGATATACAAAGGCAAGCATTAGATGTACAATTGGATGCCTATAAACATTAAACTATTGTCCATTTATTGGTGTATAAAGTTCAAAGTAACACATTTACAGTGGTAATTAATTAAATTTGAGTTATTTAGTTCAATTTGTATAATTCAGAGGTCCTTTGGTGAGCTACTCTGAAGGGGTTGGAGAGCTACTGGTAGCTGCTGAGCTATAGGTTGGAGACCCCTGTGTTAAATCACATTACATAATTGTGGCATTTTACCTTCTGTCTCAGGAACACCTCCCGTTCTCTGCAGTAATTTGAAACAATATTTTGTATAGAAGTCCTTTCTGTTGCAAAACTCCCATGTATTTGAGCTTGAAACTGGTGCGGCAAGTTCACAGTTTGTAACAGTCACATCACACACTGGTTTTTCCCACCTTTATGCTAGAATACTTTTATTTAAGATTTGCATTGTCAGCTATGTGATTTATCTTACTTGTTCTCCAAACATAAGGTGTCCTGATGAAAAGAAATGCAGGGAATACATTTTACATACAAACATTATCTGATATGCTATAGACTTTCACAAAATGCTGAACTGTCGCCAAGAATATTCCTCATCAAAGCAGAAGATGAAGCACTGACTGCATGTGCATCCCTGGAGCCGTGGCCTCACATTATTTGGTGATTAATAGTGAAAAAGATTGAATTAATCACATGAAGTTTCACTGCTCATGAATCGTTTACAGAACTTTTTAAAGGACTTTGCAGAGTTTACTATTTATGTGACCTACTACTGCAGCTTCAAAGTATTTGTATCTTTGTATCAGCACTATTGCCTGCTCTGCCTTTGCACATATTGATTACATACTCAGTGCCTTAACAGCTGAAAGCTAGAGTGTTATTGTTTAGCTTAAAGATGTCATTACATTTATTTAAGGGGGAAAGTGGTCAAACTGCAGTTATGACTCTACAGTAGGCCTGTCACGATAATCCATTTTGAAGTGCTGAATTGCTGAATAAAATATAAACTATAAATAATATTGAAACTATTTTATGCCACTGACACAATTATCTTAAAGTAGAATTATTCCCCAAAAACTTCTTAATATATTAATGGTTAAAACACAAACTGCAGTAAATAAACAGCAGAATGCAGCACATGAGTTATTCATTCAACCTTCTACAGCTCAAATCTAATCATAGAATAGGAAAAATAATAAAAAGTTCCCTGTGCTAGTACTAAGCAAAAGTCCCCACTATAAATATTGACCTTCAAAAAGTATTGTTCCATTTAACATCTATGGAATGATCGTGACAGGCCTACTTCATGGTGCTCATAGTGAATGAATGTAGGAGAAGAGTGGTATGTTTGCCCCTCTCAGTAGCATGTGCCCACAAATCCGAAGGTTGCCAGTTAGATCCCAGCTCTGACCAGCACATTGTTGTTGTGTCCTTGAGCAATGAATGGGGAAAGATTGAAAATGCAATGTAAAGTGCTTTGAGTTTTAAAAGGTGTTATATGAATCCAAGGCATTATTGCTATAATTATTATTGTTATCTGTATCGTGAATAATTAACTTGTCAGCCAATCTATGTCTTGAAGTGGCCCATAGTTACAGCATTTTCAATTACATTGAATGAAGTTTAAATGTATTTTGCATGCCAGCCTTCTTGTATGTGTGACCTATCAGTATTTTTATGTAATGTATTGTATTTAAATTTTCACCACACCAAACTACTATTATAAAGCACTACTGTTTCAAAGCTGAGTTGTTAACTTTCCTTCCCTCTGCCAGCAGCAAAGTGACCTTGTTAGTCGCACACACCTGCAATTTTATACCTGAGCACACTGTCTGCAGGCTGTAATGGGCAGCAGACTGGAACCCTGTCTCCTCCCTCACCTTCAAACTTGCCTCACACAATCACCTCTGGGCCACAAGTACCGGTATTTGAGTTTCAGGTTTACTATAAGCTGTGTGTGGAGTGATGGCTGAAGGGAAACCATACCGGTATGGACTGATGGTAGCAGGACTGGCCGTGATAGCTGTGGGCCTCTTCATCATGGTGGAGGAAAAACCACTCATCTATGGGACCATGTGTGCACTGGGGGGTCTAATGCTGTGTGCTGGGACCGTTTGGAGCTTCTGTCAGTGCTACCCCAAGGTACAGTGGAAACAGGCTGGAGACAATTACAGGGGCACTTCTAAAATGTTGAAACTGAGTCAGGAGTGAGGTAATCTGGTGTGGAAAAAGAACTCCAGATATGTACTTGAGTAAAAGTATTTATTGAGTCAGCAAATAAATATATCAAAATATGTTTAATTTTTATTTTATTTTATTTTAAGTGCAATGTTTAAATAAAAGTAGAACATTCACTTTTGCTTATCAACCACACAATCACACTACAAAAAGGGCTTGTAATTTTGTCATCCCCTACATGGAAATAAGAATTCACACAACAAAGTTTAAAGATGTATTGCCATGTCACCTATAATACTATAATATAATTAGATGTATATGTTCTTCTACTTTAAAATGCTGCATATACCTTTCAAATGTTTTGTTGTTGCAGGTCATTTTGGTTTCTGTCCCAGAGAAAAGCCCAGAGGAAGTAGTATGTATCTCAGACAATCAGGAAAGGTATTATCACACACACACTCTGGTGAGCTAAATGGGAGCATGGGCCTTAATGACCCCTATGGTCTGTCTGTGGATGTCAGGATGCTCATCAACTCCCAGTGGGCGAACATGGAGACAGTAGAAATACGTCTAATCTAATCTAGATCATTTACAAGAAAATAAACAGTGTGACATCAATTGGGTCTCAAGAAGAAGGTTTGGAAGAGAGCAGAAAAATAATAAACGCTACTTTTGAAGCAGAATGTACAGTGCAGTAGAACTTCTGTTTCAGCTATTCGTTCCATTTGATATTTTCAACAGAAAAATGTAGGAATTATAGATTTGGTTTCAGGACTTGTCCCAGGTCTTTATGCTATAGGTGTGCCAATGAGCCAAACTTGGCCCTCCAGATGGTCTAATTTGGCTCGCGACGGGGTTCTGAGATTCTAAGAATAATTTTCATTCAGTCAACCCTGTTAATTTTCAATATTTAGTTAAATGAATCATACATTTCTTTGCAGGAGAAAAATTGTATGTGCAAACTGTCATCAGGTTTGGCCCTCGACCCTCAAATGCATATTCATTTTGGCCAAGGAAAAATAAATATACAGATGTATATATACATTTGTATAATTATGCATTATTTGACACCAGTCTCTTTGTATTGTTGCTACTTATTTTGAATGTATTATTTCCATTTATATTTTCTTTCTTTGTTATTATTTATTGTGATGTGTGAGCTAATGTTTCCAAATAATTTTCCCTTGTGGCTCAATCAAGTTTGAATCTAAGTCTAAAAAGTTTGGGCAACCTTGCAATAGAGTAACAATAATGGTTTCTGGACTTTAATCAAGTCTAACCTTGGCAACTGCATTGAAAAGCAGAAGCGATAGGGGAAAAAATTGTCCATTCATAATTTCAGTAGCCGTTGTTCTCCGAATAAAGAAGAGATAACAACATGCAACCTCAGCACAAAGAATAATGGAAAAACGAGACTAGACTAGACTACTGATTTGCTCTCCTTTTTTATTTCAGTCTTGCTGAGCCTCTGCCAGTATTTTTTGGACACAAGTGTGAAAGCAGCGGACATCACCTCCACAGTCACAGCTGTCCTACTCTGTACCCGGCCTGACGGAAAACGCACACCAGAGGGCGCCAATTCCTTTTTACTTGCTCAGAGGCTCTTGGACTAGCTTGTTCCACATTTGTTTTACATGTGATGCAATGTTTCTCCACTAGATAGCACTGTTTGTCATTTGCAAAAGAAAACTTGGACCACGTGAAGTTGAACGTGTTTTCCATCCCTGCACACAGACGCCATCAGTCAAATACTAGCGTGCATTTGCAAATATTAGTTAATTATTGTGCGTTATGGGCTGTTTGTGCCCAAGTTCTAAGTGTAACATTTTAAAAGGGGTGATTTGTTACTGAATGTTGGTTGTGGAAATAAGGAAACTGCGGGTCTGGCACTGGTAATAAATAAATTCCTTAGCTAAATTTAAATAACTTTAAAGAAATATGTTTGGAACATGTTGAAACAACACAAACATGTTGACTATAAACGGGGATATGGGCATTTTCTGAGGAATCGTTTACCAATAACCGCGCGTAATGACGCACGGTAATTACAGACTGTTGGAGGGGAGAGTGAAACCTGACTCCGCCGCTGCAAGAGGTGTTTTAACGGAGGACAATCATTCGATACAAAAGCGGTGGCGTGAGCCCGGGACACGTCACCAATCCCCGCCTTGGATTATAAGTATCAATTCTTCGATTTTTTGTAACCCCAAAATCTGGAGTGATGCTGGGTGCCTTTACAGGTCTCATTCCACGCGCAGCTGCTAGACAATCAAAACATCTGAGTAACTGAGACTTAATCACAATTTCTTACAAGTGCGTCTTTTATTAAATTAGACTGTAATAAATAATAATAATAAAGGGTTTAGTGAGAAATATGCGTCTCGCCTCCGTGTGGGTTGGACTGGCACTGTGCTTGTGCGCATCTTTGGCCGTTAGCGCGCAGGACGACCCCGAGGACGAGGAGATGATCCTGGACCTAATCCGAGATGACGGGACTCAGACCGAGACCGGACCAGAACCATCAGCCGAGTTCCTCAGGTGCAACAAGGTACAGTCAATGTCTTGGCTAATCCTTACGCGTCTCACAGGCAAAAGAAATTCACATAGGTATATATTCAGGAGTTTGCTTTTATGAAGTAGGCTAAATCGTTAAAATATTAAATTATCCAAACTTTATCCACTTGCACCACACTATGCGCGCTGCAGGCACCCTGGCGCATGCCCGGTCAGTACCTGGTGATCCTGCGCGAGGGGAGCCACGACTCTCACGTGCAGAGGACCATCCGGAGGCTGAGAGCTAAAGCGGCCCGGAGAGGATACCTGGTGGACATCCAACAGACCTACTCAGGAGCTCTGCGTGGGTTCCTGGTCAAAATGAGCAGCGACGTACTACACCTGGTGAGATTCAATTAATGTAGGCTATGTTAGTAAACTGGACAAACGCTTAAACCAAACATCGGGGAATATGAATGCAAACTGTTGTCATCAGATGAAAAGAGGTTCCACAGAATGAACTTACAATAAAACAATAAATAAATAAATAAATAAAGTAATGGTAAATGTACAGATTGAACTCTGTAGTTGTACAATGTTATACAGCATAGAGAGGAGTGAAAATTGTATTTTAAATTTAATGTCCTAATCCTTTGAATACCAGGCTGTGAAGCTCCCCCATGTCCACTACGTAGAGGAGGACTCATCCATCTTTGCTCAGAGCGCCCCCTGGAACCTGCAGAAGATACTGCAGCCTTATGGTGGTACCACTGAGAATGGGACATACAAGCCTCCCAGTGAGTGGACCTCGTAGACTCATGTCAGTGTATTTAGGTATAGTTTAACCCTTTGCTCTGCGGTCTGCAGACGATGGCGGCCTGGCGCAGGTCTACCTCATGGATGGCAGTGTGCACACCTCCCACCGAGAGGTCGAAGGGCGTGTCCTGATCACTGACTTTAACCATGTCCCAGAGGAGGATGGGGCCAGAGTCCACAGACAAGTACTGCTGGGTTTAAGATGATTATTCTAAAGTTCAGTGCTACAAGTAGCATTCATTTACAGTAGTCTGATTTTTAAGTATGTGTAGCTAAAATAGAGTTACACTAGTACTAAAGCACTTTTAACCAAACAATTACCCAAAACTGACTCTAACACTAAAACTGCAGAGGACCCCATGCACCGCCAGAAGGGGCCTGGCCACTCCTTTAGAAGACCTGTCATGTGAATGAATTAACATCAGCCTACACATTTTGAGGCTTCAGCAATAGTACCGTATTATGTTATTATAGCATAATATAACTAAATGTATGAGTTTTTCATGTTTTTGTAAATTTATGACACATTTAAAATGAATAATCCAGGTGATCACGTGGATGCAGGCTAAAGAACTAGACTATTTTGTGGTGTGGTCACAAGAACGCTATTGATCATGTTTGTTGATTTTTGCATTTGATATATTGCTTTAAATATATTGTTTAAGTTATAAAGTAGTATACAATATAACATATACTGTACAGAAACAGAAACACTGCCTCCATCACATTTAGATGTTTTTCAAAGGCTACAGCACTCCTCTTCCTCTCTCTTCTGCTCCTCCTCACACTGTAATTCTTGTAATCTGCAGGCCAGTCAGTGTGACAGCCATGGGACTCACATGGCAGGGGTCCTGAGTGGGGCCGACTCAGGAGTGGCCCGAGGAGCTGGAGTTAACCTGGTCCGAGTGCTCAACTGTCAGGGCAAAGGCACCGTGTCAGGAGCACTGGCAGGTACAAACTACATCTCCTGGATTCATCAATTTATTTTAAAAAAAGTCATTTTAACAGGATACTCCAGCAGTGTTCTTCCATTAACACCACCGCTACCACTGCAAAACCTCTTTAGCTGATGTACAACTATAGCACATTACTCTCACTCATGTCATTTGCTATTTGAGTTCAATACTTATTTTTTATTTAATTTTTTGGCTTGTGCTGCAAAGTTTGTCATTGCATTTGAAGTATTTGGCACTTAAAACACTGAAGTACACTTAAAAATAAATAAGTAATTGTAAATAGTGGTTATTAAAAATGTGTGTAATATTTTTAAGTTTTTACTGCTTCCACTATTCTGAGCCTTGCTCTCATCTTACAGGTTTGGAGTACATTCGTGCCTCTTTGATCACTCGACCTGTGGATGCTGTAGTGGTCCTCCTGCCTTTTGTTGGTGGGTTCAGCCGATCATTAAACACAGTCTGTAGGGAGATGGTGTCCAGTGGAGTGGTGCTCATCGCTGCAGCAGGGAACTACAGAGAGGATGCTTGTCTCTACTCTCCCGCTTCAGAGCCTGAGGTAACAATGGCATTTATTTACTCATCAGCCAAATCATTATGACAGACAGTGACACGTATTCATGTGCTCTATACTGAGTGGAATACAACAAACGGACCATAAAAGTGGCACACCAAAACACATGCACACCAAAAATGTAATAAATGTGTGATTTCTGGAGTCATCAGATTATTGAAATGTCATGTAAACATTTATATCTGATGTGAGAAATCTGATTTCTTATTCATACTTGTGCTGGGTTTGACAAGGAAAATGCTTAAAAAATGGTAAACTAATGTGGCAAAGACAAAAACATCCTTATTTTTAAAAATCACTGAACTTTATACTTCAAATACAGTTAGCCTAAAATTCATTGATTATTAGACATGTGTCCCCATTTTTTTGCTGTTTGCTGATCAGATTTCTCTTGAGCACAAACACACCAAAAATCAGATCTAATTATCGAGTTATCGGATGATTCTAGTGATCCATTTTTTTTCTGGATTGTAAATGTATCCAAAGGCTGGATAATGATGATGCATTAGAGGGAAAGAGGGTTAGAGCAAATGATGCTGTTGCTGTCTGCTTACAGGTGATCACTGTGGGGGCGGTGAACTCAGCGGACCAGCTCATGTCTCAGGGAGCTGGGGGAACAAACTTCGGCCGCTGTGTGGACCTCTTTGCTCCTGGTGATGACATTGTCAGTGCCAGTAGTGACTGCAGCACCTGCTTTACCTCACGCAGTGGAACATCTCAGGCTGCTGCCCATGCTGCAGGTAAAGTACAGATGTTTGTGATTTTATTTTATACTAAATGCAGACACATATCACGAAAACACCTAACTTTTAATAAATCACATGTGGAACAAGCCAGTATGTTTCTGCCAAATCTGTATAATTTGGTGGTAGGTTTTCAACAAACAAAAACTCATAGAGCTCAATATGGACACCTGTTATAATAATATACATATAATTTAACTGAAATACCCTCTGGTGGTTGGTTGAGTATTACACCATTTGATCTTTGCTAAGAAGTGATTCCTTCAGCATCACTTACAAGTCTTTATAAAAATGTTCTTAAAATGAAGTACTTTTTTTGTAGGCATAGCTGCTGTGATTCTGTCAGCCAATCAGAAGGCCTCTCCTGTGCAGCTCCTCCACAGTCTGTTACACTATTCAGTTAGTAACACCATTAACCTCCTGTCTGTCCCTGAGCCTCAACAACTGTCCACACCAAACCTGATCACAGCCATGCCCCCTCTGTCTGCTACCTCAAGTAAGGAATACACTTTATTCATTCCATATTGCCATATTGTCAGTGGTGGAAAGTGGTAAGGTACATTTACTTTACTTGAGAAGTCTTCTGAATATATATGCTTCGAAAAAATAGTTCTGTTGCAACACACATATTTTAACATAAAAGCTTAATGATAATAATTTTAACTACTTTTAACCTCTACTTGAGTAACACCAACTACATTTTGACTATGAATCTTGTGAATTTGTTTTGTGTTTTTGTATTCTTTGTGTGCCTTCTGGTCAGATGGGGAGCTGCTCTGTCGGTCGGTGTGGTCCGAGAAGTCAGAGGTCAGAGCCGTCAGTCGCTGTCGTCATGGAGAGGAGATGATGGGCTGCAGCAGTTATGCTCCTGAAGGCAGCCATGTCGGAGAAACTATTGATGTAAGTTAAACATACAATATTCAAGAACTATATCAAGTCTTAACTTTAACACACCCCAGTTTGCCTAATGTTTTTCTGTGCTTCTCTGCAGGAAAGTAGTGGTCAGATGGAGTGCGTTGCTTACAGTGGTCCTGGGGGTAAAGGGGTGTATGCAGTGGCCCGGTGCTGTGTTATTGCAGATCTTCAGTGTCACATTCACAGCAGCCGCAAACCAGGACAGGACGCAGAGTGTGAGAGGCCTGAGAGCCATCTGACGGGTAAGAATAAAGTCTGTACTGAAGTCTGTACTGCAGTCTGCATTGAAGTCTGTACTGAAGTCTGTACTGGCACAGGGGTGTAGTTCAATACCATACAGGCTACTACATAAAAGGCTGCTTTGAACAATAGTGAAGTTAGTTACTATGGCAATGCCGCAATGTAAAACTTGGGACTATTGCTATAAATAGGATATAAATGAAAGGTTAGTGGGTATGTCTGCCTTTTAAACCTTCTAGTGTATCTCCTAATATGTTTTTAATGTGGGATTTCAGAAATTGTTTATCGTATTACTGAACAGAAATGAAAAGTAGTTATAAACAGTACTCTGGTGAATACTTTTAGGCCTACTTAAAATATTTGTGGCATGGTGACAGAGCACTCATGCTTCACAACAAGGTTCTGGGTTAGATTACTGTGTCACCTTGGGCCTTTCTGGGCAGAGTTTGCATGTTCTCCCCGTGTCTGGGTGGTTCTTCTCAGATCTCAATAACCCTGCAACTGAGAACAAAATCCTTAATGATTTTAGTGGTGGCGATCAAAACAGTGTTGGCAGTTCTTTCAACTTCATTAATGCTTTTTAACCAATAAATGAAAAAAGGTTCATTGTATTTATCTGGCCTACACAGGCTGTACATCTTGGTCCTCTGGTCACTTGACGGCTGGCTCTCATCCACATCACGGAGAGCGGAGACTCTGCTCTGTCCCTGAAGGCCTCATGTCCACCGCCGTGTGCTGCCACGCCCCCTCTCTGGAGTGCCAAGTCCTAGAGCAGACAGCCACAGACGGAGAGCAGGTCCAAACACAAACATGACTCTATTCGTCCCCTCTCTAGAGTTTTTTGATAATTTCACAGACTAATTCCTCATATTATTTAACTATCATAAGCGAAGGTGACCAGAGTAACAAGCCTAATTATTGCAGTTATTACAATATTTGTTTCAAAAAGCAACTAAGTAATTTGATTCTTGCTCAAATATAAAACTAATGTCAGTTTGTTTATCTATGATCAACAAATGCTCTTTTCTATTTTAATAATAAATTCAATAATTAATAAACTTTGAATTAGCACTCTGGTTTCCAATGTCAACCTAAAACATGCGGACAATAGGCTAAGGCTTAGGCAAGGCAAGGCAAGGCAAGTTTATTTGTATACCACAATTCGTACACAAAGTAATTCAAAGTGCTTTACAGAATAAGAAATACATTAAAATCATAATAAAAACAAATCAAAACATAAATAAACATGAAGATTAAAATTAAAAAAGAGAGACATAAATTGGAGAGAAGAGTGCGGAATGAAAACCTTCTTAGAGCTCCTGAGTACTCCTGGCATGGCGGTCAAGAATATACAAGTATAGAAAATACCAGAAATAGGTATATTACTGTGACCATGCATGTTTTAAGTGTGTTTCTTCTTTCTTCCTGTGCATTACTTTTTGCAGGTGGAGGTGTTGTGCCCGGCTGGATGGACTCTGACAGACTGTAATGCTGTTTCCCGCGGCTCCATCTTTGGCCCAGTTGCCAAGGGTAACAGTTGCCATGTTCACAGTGGCTCACGAGCGGGTGGGGCCGTGGGTATCGCAGTTTGCTGTCACATTAGAGATGATGGTCAGCCTGCTCTGCACTGATGGAGTATACTCCACAGCTGTTAGCATGCAGTATTTGAAAAGTGAATATTTAATACTTTGTTTATATTACTGTACTTACCATCAGCACATGCCTTAGAGTTGTATTTAATTTACAAATGATAAGTCCTTCATTATGCTTCACTTTCTTCATACATTGGAGAAATCTTGTAAATTTAAGTTGCAGCCATCTAAAAATCGCCAAACCTTTTGCCTCAGTGCATGATTTTATCTGGTGGTTAAAAAAAGCTTGGAAAAAAGTATAATATAGGACTTATAAGACAATGTGTATTCATGCCCCATGGATAAGCCCTAGCAGGGGATTACAATACAGTAGGGATAGGATTTTAACATGAGTTCTTTTATATTTCTTTTGTTATTGAAGACGTGTCCACTTCTTCGAATATATGAATAATTGAAATGTAGCCTTCGTTTTACTGTGTCAATTGTATAATAAGTGTTTTTATGTGTATTTGTTCATCTTTTGTACAAAACTATTAGTCATAATAAACACATTTAGACACATTTTGGTTAATCGTGTACTAAATATGAAGCCCACACTTTTACAAATGGCTCCAAAAGATTCTTGCCACTGGGAGTAAAATATTGCCATTACAGCAGACATGTTTTTTGTGTTGTTTTTTGTTACCGGAGCGGAGTCGGCGCAGCTGGACATCACACCACAGGAAACTCCTCTCCGTGTCTGATCCACTGATGAGGATAATGAGTCTGATTAGCCCCATGATTAACACACGGGTTAATTCAAGCACCTTTGTCTTCACCAGCAAGATTCAAATAATTTAGTGGATAGTTACTAGTCATTTGTTGTGAATGTTTTTCTAGTAAGACTTGATACAAATTTCCAAATAGTGGTGTTAAGTGTGTATATTACAGGCAAAGTTTATTATTCAGGCAAAATGTGACAGATTGGTTTTATTGTTGGATTTTATTGCAATTTAAACAGAATAGCAACTTCTGTAAAAGGGAAGGTAAGTATATTGTCGAGTTTCAGGTCAAAATATTCTATAGGTCAATAATGTTTAATGGGGGGCAGCATAATGAATATTGCAGATTTTTGTTGTAATATACTGAGCTATTGGGTGTAGTCACAAATGTAAATGATCAAGTTCAACATTTGTGAATTATCTTTTGGATATGTCATGTCAAAGTACAATGTAGCTAATCGATGGAGGTAAGAGACAGTTTTTCCTATCTGGGACTATGGCATCACACTGAAGGGAAGAAGGTGGTGCTGCCTCAGAAAACTGAAGAAAGAAAACTGGTATGACTGACATACAGAGATTTATGGAGAACAGGGCAGGCTGATCAAAAACAATGACTGAAGTAAGGCTAAGCATTAAATTAAACCTTTGGCTGGTTCTTGTGTATTTGCATCCCATTTGCATTCCATGAAAGGCTGATGAAAAGGTTATACCTTGCCAGAGATTCTCCACTTTGCTTGGTTGTTTGATTTAGGCAAAGCCGGAAATGAATCAATATTCTCTACTTTGCCTAATATAGATCTCATGTTTATCTATACAGTAATGCCAGCACTTGAAATAATTATCCAACTTCACATGTAATTTGTAATATTGTTTATAAACCTGGTTAAAAAAAAAAGGTACTACTGCTTCTGTCCGTTTATTTAAGTCCTATCTTAGTCTTAGCCAGTTGTTATTTTTTACTCATTAATGTTGGAAAATAATTGCAGTATCCACATTAACAGATATCCAAAGTTGTGCATTCCAGTTTATTTTATATCAAATTCCCCCTTAATCAAACTCTGATGTACAAATTAAAACTTGAGTCTTAACATGCAATACAGAATCCTGCAATGGCAGAAGTGAATCTTCAAATGACAGTAAAAACCCGTATAGATGCCGATCCCAACCCACACACTTCCCATATCCCTCCCTGCATCCCCGGATTAAAACAAGATACGATTGTTATTTTTTGATAAAGTTTGTCAATTTTCATTATGTGGCTGTGGTTGTTGAGGGCAGAGGGCAAACCTAGAGGAGAGATTTGGGGTAAATGTGACCAATGTACTGTATGCATGGTTGGCACAGACTACATGCAGCTCCATCCGTTTGTACTAAATCAGAGAAAGGGCATGTTTCTGTGACAGTAAGTGTTCATGACAAAATCACAGCAAGAAAGACAGAAAAAGAACAGATTTTTCACAGAGTAAGACGGTTGTTTCTTTGCCACTTCTTACTGCCACACATGCAAACATGCCAAAAAGCACAATGACATTCACTTCTATGGAGGACATGGGCGTGGAGTGAGCAAGAGAGAAAGAGAGAGGGTGCAAAAGCGTCTGACATCTCCTTAGGCTCAGAGATCTCACAGCAAGAAGCGGAAAAACCCAAACCATAATGCATGACTGCTTTATAGGTCCTCATATTGTAAACATTGACCTGTTAAAGCTGAGCAAAATCAATTAATATATTCCATAAAGTAAGAGTGAGGCTTTTAAAGGGGAACCATGGAAATATTTACTATAAACTGAGATATGGAGTCAATGTGATGGCCCCCTTCTGGAAATTGTAAGACATTTTAATTATTTGCTTAGTTTAGTTCTGGTTTAGTTCTAGTCTAGATTGATTTAGTCCCTGTCAAAAATAGTGTATGGTTTTCAGTATTTTATAAATTGATTTGATAAACTGAAAGATGGGGATGGATAGAAGTAGTATGAAGTAACATTTTGCTCACATCCTTGAAATGAGAAAAATAAACAGATAAATTAAGCAAAGTTGCATGGTTCCCCTTTAATTTAACAGCGATAGAGAAAGAAGCAGCATTGTATTCCCATTACCAAACCCTGTCCTAACATCTAACCCTGTTTTTTTTTTTTTTTAATAGGGTACCGCCTATGCCCCCATCCCATACACAGTGAGTTCAAGATCCCTACAATCCTGTGTCACAACACATGTTACTAAGTTCCCTGTTTCGGCTAATTGATGATAATACAGAGACCGTGGTGGTGTAGAGCGGAGAAAGAGGCGATATTTCGGGAGAATAAGGCACTTGAAGACTCCCGACTGGCTCGAAAAGTTGTTCAGGAAATCTGGCTACATGTGGCTCCTCTGCATGTATGTGTGCGTGCATGTGTGTTGGTGTGTGCGTGTGTCTTTGTGTGGCAAAATTAAAAAGGCAAAAAACTCAAAATCAGACCAAGCAGAGGTAACTGTAAAGCGATGCGGATGAAGTGATGTCATGTACGTCTGTAAATGTGCAAGATTTTAACAAGTGTTGTGTTGAGTGTATACAACCTTGGCACCTAAAAAAGTAAAACAGGCAGCTGATCTGTTGCACTTTGCGATCAGCTTTTCTTGCATAAGGCTCATGTCCCTAAACTCCTTCAAGAGAGAAAAGAGATTGGCAACAAAAATAATAAAACACAGCACTAAAAACCAGCTCGAAAAAGAAGGCCAGTCAGCAAACAGTACCCAAATTGCTGACCACCGGGGCACTGCTATGCTATGGGGAAAGACCAGTGCCCCAAAACTAGCCAAGGTCAAGAGTCAAGCCACACAGGCAAACTGGCTAGCTATCAGGGCTTCAACGAGTTTGGATTGTGGCACTGAAATGAATTGATCATAAAAGCAAAAAAAAAAAAAAAAAAAAAAAAGCAAAAAAAGAAGACCACATAACATAATAGGAAGCTCTTGAGGACCTGACCAGTGCTGCACCATATTCTGGGTCGGAGCGTAAAGTGCGTATACATAAGCCTACCCCAGTCCCAAGTGCTCACGTGTTTTGGAGGTATTTCCTGTACAAGTGCACCTAAGAAGTCAATGTCAGGTTCCTCTCGAGCGGCTAACGTGAAGACAGTTGTATGGCTGTGTGAGGAAGAGCACACAAGACTTTTAAAATATATCTTACATTGGAAATTACAACTATGGAACAAGTCTTTACAATTTGAATATGTCTATGTAGATATGTATAATTGGCAAATATGAGCAGACAATTGTTAAAACACAACCCAGACCCATCCATCCTCTGCCTCCTCCCTTTGCTGCTTTCATTCGGAGACAATGAGTGAATAAAAAGGATCAACTGAATTCATCCGGAGCCTTGTACTTCTTTGTTATCGAACTCTTGCTGCCCCTTATGATAATGCAACTCCATCAACCAGCTTCTTGTCTGAAAGCAACTCATTTTGGGATTTATTCATAGCTCCTTTGTTACCATAGCGACCAAAACAGACAGTTCTGGTTGGTTTTGCGAAGTGAAGGGTCCAAAGTGTCCGGACCAATAAGAGGCGAGGTTCACCCATGTTTGTATTTAGTTTTTGATGTTTTTTTTTTTTTTCTTCTTTTGGAGTGGCCGCCTCTGAAGAGTTGTGGATCCTCGTGGGTCTAAACAAAACTACGGGTCTACATCTTCAAGATCGCTTTTGGAGTCGCCGAGCATCATGGGAGACTCTGATCCCTGCAAGTGGAGGAAAGAGGGAAGTATTTGTTTGCTGAGACAACAGAACAATACAAGCCTTATGCGCAACAAACCCTATAATGATTCTTACAGTTTGACTAACAAATACAACCAACAATGAAAACCTTTATCTTTTGTACAAAAAAAATAAAAATAAATTATTTTTCTTTGACAATGAAAACTAAAAATATCAAAATCAATTACTAAGTATCACTGAGCAGAACAAAAAAAACAACAATATTGCCAAACATTAAAAAAAAAAAAAGATCAATCATATTCCTCCAAATGTTATTGCTTTTCATTAAATGTTTCACAGCATGGCTTTAAATGCACCTCCATCTTCATGAAGACAAGCTGGGGAGGTTACCAGACCAAGTTTCAGGTCAAAACTTTGAAGAGGTGCAAGTGCTTACAACACTGAACATTGATTTTAATGGTTTTATTGTTTTAGGACATATGACCAAATTTTAGCAATTTACCTTTTTGCTGTCTTCATTTTATGATCTCTGTGCAGCACTTTGGAAAATGCTTTATTTGTAAAATGTGCTATAAAAATAAAATGGATTTGGATTTACAACAGTGCATGCTTTTCATTGTATTTTTAGAAACGAAAAATGTTTTATTAAGTAAATGGTAGATAGATGGTTTAATGCCAGAAGTTACATCGAGCACCTTAAAGCTGAAGGGTGTGGGTAAACAACCACATATAAAACACATATAAAAGGAAACCTGAACATGTTTAAAAACTTTACCAAATGAAAAATTGCTGAAAGTAAAAAGTACACATAAATATATCTATACCCGTGTACACCGTGATTCACAGCAAACCCATCGATTTACAGACATTTTACCAAGTGCACTGAATCTATACAATAAATTACTAGGAACATTTTACTTTGCCATTTTTTCTCTTCCAAAACATTTTTGTTTTTTGACAGGAACCTATATATTATGCAAACTACCAGGTCCGATTTGGCTCTATACTGGCAGCAGAATGATAATCTGTACATGCTTATTATATTGGCAGTGTTCATGAGTGTTCCAGCGGAGCCATGTGTGGGCCCCTGACAGTGACACAACAGAGCAAACCCTGGCTCTAATAACAGCCGTGGGAGGCAACAAAGTGCCTCTAGAGCTCATGACAAGAGCCCCCATTTCAGTGCAATATACTCATCTTAGATCAGCCATGAGTCAGATCATTGTGGGATATATTTAATTTTGTAAATGTGAACACATGTAAATCTAGACATTGAGCAGCTACTGTTTTTCTGGATTCAGAACTCTTGGTAAAACAGGATGTTTTAATTGGCTTTCCAAACTGTGTTCAAGATGGCTTGTACACCCTAATTTATGTACGTCTGTGTAATCCCTCAGTTGACTAGCTAGACTCCTGCTTCATATAATTTCATTCTGAGTCATTTGAACTAACTCTTAATATTCCTTATTACTGTGAGAGTGTTATATTGTGCAATTAAGCTACTGTCCAAAAAAATTCCTTTGTAAATCAATTAAGTAAAGTTTCTAACGTCTAAGTTTGAGGGGTACTTCGTACACGGGGCTATGTCTGCATATAATTGGGTGCTCCGCAACTGAGCATCTGCATGCATGAAAAAGGCTATAAAAGCACACATATAAATATATTGTATACCTGTCTGAGGCTGCGGTCTGCGTTCTCATTGGCTGGACTCCCATCAGAGCCATTACTGCTGCCAGACTGCTCCTTCTCATTTAACAGAGCTGTAGCATACGCTAGTGTGTCCTGCAAAGAGACAAATTCCCAATACGAGAAGAGATCCAAACTTAGTGCTACACAGCAAAATGAATTTTATGGAACATATATAGTATTCCTTATATTGGGTTAGACAAAACCTGACATCAGATATACCACAGGGCATCTTGTTACTTCCATTACACTTTTATCCACAGAAAATCATATACTGTCTTTTAGCTCAGGATCTTCTTTGACACAAATTAATTTAAAGTCCATTTTTACTACATAAAATGTAATTGTAGTTCTTCCTGTAAATCCCCTGTCTGGCTGTCTCTGACCAACAAGTGGAGTCTACCTTGTTCCATTAAAATCAATATCACTGATTGTACAATTATAGTTGTATAATCTTTACAGCAATATTCTGTTGGGTGATCAGAGCAATTCATTCAAATCTTTCTTCATATTTATATTTCTGAACACACAGATTTAAAGGTAAATGTAAGCACTGAGCACTGGTCAATGGGCTTGATCTTAGCTCTTATCTGACTTGAACCTATAAAAAAGAAGCTGAAACTCAATGATAAAGACTTGGTGGTATGGATGATGAACTCCAGTGAGTGTTACCTGCGCAGAGATGGTACGCTGGAAAGTTTTGTTGGTAGAAGTTTCATTGGAGACATTGCTCTGTGGAGTCCAGTAATGCTCTGTCATCTGAATAAAGGGAAATAAAAAATAAGGTGCAAAATATGAAAATAGCATTATCCTTAAATGGTTTCTGGCATGGAAACATGCATTTCTATTTTTGTTATATGTCAAGAAATTACACAGAGCAAACAAATACTTCTACAACCACCAATGTGCTGAAATAAAATTTAATAATAAATACAAAAGTACTGTCTCAGCATTTGTCATTTTACAAGGGGTTTTCCAAAATCTATATTTTTAAAACTTAAATAGGTGTGCAACTTTTTTTTCCCCAGCAAGTGAAAAGCAGATGTGTGCACCCTTCTCATACCAAAACACTTGTGTGTCTGAAGGTCATAATACTCATAGTTTCCCGTTTCATAAAAACACACTTTCAGAGATTATCACAATATTTTTAGCTTGCCTTTTTCTGTAGCCACTGCACAGCCCAGCTCCAGTGACCAGACAACTCCTTGAAGTAATCCTTGGCCTGAGGACACCTTAAAAAAAAAATAAAACAAATATTAAAGTTTAAAATATAAAAACAGACTTTAAATACTATTGTCAAATTACAACAGATACATACTTCTGGGCTAACGTGACCAGGAACTTCACACATTGATAGCAGCGACGACTGTCCACATTGTTGCTCTGATGCATCAAAGCTGTGAAAAGAAATGAAAAAGAAATAGAAAATTAATTCACACTATTACGCCCAAGAAAAACAAACTAACATAAAATAAAATTTAACAAAGACATTCAAATACCTAAAAGGCCTTTGTCTGATTCAAATGCATATTTTAGTCGTTGAGCTTGTAGAGGATCTTCCACTACCTTTTGACACAAATAAACAGGGTTATGAAAAGCCACAGATAAATACAATAATGTGATATGTCAGATGTCAAGTTGTGACTAACCAATAACTCTTGCAGCATCTGAAACACGTTCTTCAGTTCATGAGGTGGAGCCGACTCAAGCTGGGTCTTGATTTAATAAAATAGTAAAGGGAGTTAATGAGGTGAGAGTAAACCAAAAACATCTAATAAACATGTATATTTTCATCATACTTTGAGTAATTGCAGCACTCCCAGTGAGAAGGGCTCATTACAGTATGAACAGTAGGTCACCATCTCTATGAGCAGAGACAGAGGACCGCTCAACTCCCTCATTGCAAACATCACCTGGAAAACACACGATTCATATTTCATATCACACAAGATTGTGTTTATGAATACACTAATACAATGTTTGTTCTTCATAAGTGGTGTCAGTTGTACCTCTAGCAGATATGGCTGCCCCTCTGGAGTGAACAGAGAGGCTAGGATGTCCGAGTGAAGAGGCAGCAGAGAGGTGGAGGATGACACAGTCCCGGCAAGTGGCTTAAACATCCCTGGGGCTACAAAAACAACAGAATGGTTCAACAACAATCATTTATACAAAATGATTATTCATCTGACAGAAATATATTGATATCTGATATTGTTGCACCTTGAGTTCTCTGTGGGCTGAGGTCAGAGTGTAGAGTGATTAGAGCCAGGGTGCTGTGGAGGTGAAGAAACTCTCGAGCTTGAGCTGGACTCCAACGGCGGTTCTGAAGAAGATATAAATAAATAAATTACAACAAACTGCTAAAAATAACAATAAAGCTGCATAATATATGAATGCCATGTTTTCAATAAGGTCAAATAAAACTGTAACACATAATTTACACATTTCAGCTTTCTTTATTGTTTTCTCTCCATTTTAGTTCAATTTGTAATTTAGATAAGGTTTTACAACTAAATGAATGCATTCAGGTATATATCAAAATATGTTTGTACCCTACCTGGTTGTTCTGTCTGTTTGGACCCAGTAAGAAGATGAGCATTCGCCGATATGCTGAGTGTTTCAACAGTAACTGACAAGGACCACAACCCTGAGGGAACCGGAAAAAGGTTGAGACTGTGGTATTTTACTCTAATAAATCATATAACTATATACAGTCATTATTACCCTCTGGGCAAAGTTACTGAAGAGATTGAAGTACTGAGCACAGTTTTTCACATTCTCTGGAACATCTTTGTCAAGCAGCGACAGGAGGGCGTCGGTCAGATTGTCCAGTCCTGGATCAGCGAAGAATATGGCACTTTCCAAAGTCTTCTCCAGGATGGACGCAACCACCACTCGCACCTCCCTCACACTGCACTCCAACAAACACACCCTGAAACACACATTTGGAGGTTTAAATTATGCTCAGTGACGATGCCATGTCAATCACAAGTTAAATTCTAAGATAATTAAATTTTGTACTGTGTAAAAAACGGGCCAGAGCTACAAAATGTTGAATCCAGGTCCAATTCTGTAAGATGTGAGCAAGTTCTGCACAGTGAGATTAATTTATGTAGTTTAGTTATTCTTCTTAAATTAATTTTTATAGCATTATTCTACTTACTTGTTCAAGTAGAATATATTAGGAAAAAATCATCTTAATATGCTTATCTGTAACAAGGTATTGAAGATGCAGCAGTTCTGTTGTTTTTGGCCTTGAATTTACTACTATTTAACCTCAGGAAAGTTCTTTGAGTTCACCACTACTATGGTATGAGGGCTGGAGTATGCCATTGGCCGATATGCAACAACCAATCCTGTAATGGGACCATATGATCACCTCATGCTTAAACACAGAGCAGAGGTGGGCAACGCCTTTCTTTCAGACACTTTTTTATTTGGCTCTGCGTGAGTGCATTCCTGAGGCCAACCCCTTGTTGCAGCCAATCAGCTCCTAATAAACACAAGGCATGCCTAAACATTTGGGGTGTTTGACCAACTTCACTGCTGAATGTTAGTAGCCATGGTAAGGAACAAAGAAATCAAATCAGATATAAAGATGAAGATTACATGAGACCCAGTTAATAAAATAACATCGTAACATTGAACATTTTGTCCTCATAGTTGTTGTGCTGGGGGTATGAATGTCCAAAATTGATGAAACTTAATTTGCAATAGTTGGTATCCATCAACAGTGGTCCATCATTGGCAAGTAATGCATGTGTGGAGTCAACGCAATAAAACATCCTTATTTGTCGTTTACAAGGGCACATATTAGGGACCTGAGCCTATACAAAACACATCACGTGTAGTTATAACGCCTGATTATTCTGCCACTTAGAATAAAACTACACAAAAATGTGATGCAGAGGATTCACTGGGTCACAAAGTTGTTGGCACAGATAGGACAGTATAAGCACTTTCTCTGCACAAACCTGATGATTTCTCGTCCCTCTGTGCTGACGAGGTACTGGACCATCCACTGGCACGCCTCGCTGCTCTTGGACAGCAGCACCTCCACTGTCGCCATCCACTCCTCTGTGTCCACTCTGCAGGGGCACAAGTGAGAGAGGAGCAAAAGGGAATTTTAAGACTTATATCCAACATTATTCTGACCTTGAGTTAATTGTCAGATAAAGTGCATTTAACTCTTTATATTGTTATAAACATACCACTCTTTTGTCCAAAGAAACTGTGAAACTAATGCAAATCCATTTTCAGGTATTTTGTACACATTTATTTTAGAGCAGTCATGCCAAAAGTATCGCCTAATGCAGTCTTCAGACTAATTTTTTTTGACCCTCAGGCTTCTTGCTGTAGGCCTACATAAAGATGCAGTGGCTCTGTCAACCTCTGCTATTTTAATTATTCACCATATTAACTACTATTACATAGCTTTCCACTTATTTTATATTTCAAATTATATCCCCTTGAGCAAAAGTTAGTGCAGTCATTTTGTACAGTAAATTTATCATTCACATTTAAATAGTTCAGGTCTAGATGCTGGTCCCTACAAACCACTTCTTTACATGTTTGATTGAGTCTGCAGCAAAGACTGTTCTTTTTAAGGAAAATAAATACTTTTAACAATGTAATGCAAGTAATGTTCTTATGACCCTTTTTTTTTTTTTTTAAATCAGAGTTTTACTGAATCTATTCTTGCATTTTGTATTGTTAGTTTGGTGCCGTCTCTATGTCTAGAAGAAATCGTCTGGCTCGGTTGGTCAAAGTGGCAGGTAAGTTGGTGGAGCATCAGTGATACACTATTAATTTGGGGCTTAGCAGTAAAAACAAAAGATTCATACCGCAGTTTCTTCTTCGTGTGTAGGTAAGTGTGGAAGAGGAAGTTGACAGACAACTGGAGACTCTCTTTGGCCATTGCCTGGTAGTCTGGATGCTTCAGCTTTGTCTGTAAAGAAAATGTTGCCTTTTTTATAAATCACAAATCATCACATATTTTTGTTCAAAAGAGGTTTCATTAGACCTTATTTTAGTTATAAGTACAGACATTAGATAACAACATACAGCATTGACGGACGCCAGTGAGAGGGTAAAGTTGAAGTAGTCGCTGTTGTAGACATCTCTGTTTCTCATGAACCTTAAATTCTCATCTCTCACCATCTGCAACGAACAAAGATACGAAATGCTGTTAATACAATACACAGGTCAAGTTCGAAAAGTACACGCTGATATTAAAGCTAAAGATGTATGTTTTTAATGTAGCATTACCTGGTAGATGCTGGCAGGCATCTTCTCCACAAACAGGCCTTTCTTCTCTCCCTTTCGGACGAGGCGTGTGAGGAGGGTGAGGCGATCATTGTTGGCTCTGGGGGGACGAGGGGAGGACTGGGGTGAGACATCGGGGGAAGACGGGGCAGACCTGGAAACAATTTAATAATGTAATAATGGGTTGGGCTTTGGGATGTTTTAGGATGCTAATGATGGCAATGCGATGCAGGACTGAATCTTTATTGTCTCCATGGTTGGGGATTTGTGCGCATTATTGTTGCTATTAATAATAAAGTCTACACACAAAAATTTATATCTGTGCCGACACTTTACTAATGACTGCCCCTTAAAGTCAATCCATTTACATTTTGAGTGATCAGGTCAGTCAATATCTACTCAAATGTCAAAAATACCAGTGTAACTTGTAAACTGGTGTCCAAAAACATATTAACCTCCAACACAATGAAGCTATTCAGACTTACAGTGACAGGTCCTCTGCTTCTTGTCTCATGATGCTGACTCTGCTCTTCTTTGGTAACACCGGTGAGTTCTGGTCACTGATTTTCTGATAAAACAACATGTAGGCGTTCCAGTACCTCCGCCGCACATCCGGGTAGGGGTTGGCTGCGCAAATATCAACAAGGTCTAAATACAAATGTCTAAAATGTGCAATGGTTTGGAGGTTCTTTGATTTACTTACACTGATCGTACACTTTAGGTCTGTACTCTCCTCCAAAGCACTCATACTCCAGAGACTCATCGTTCATGTCAAACTCCTCCACCACATTGTCATTAAACTTGTACCACCGTCCACGAGCGCTGCCGCTGAAAGACAAAAATATACTTCAGGTCAAGTAATGACTAAAGTACAATATTTTTCATAGGCAGAATAATTTCTCAACAAAAATGTGCAAATGTTAAAATGTAAACTATGTAACTTTTCTGTTGCAGGTTCTCCACATGACTTTGACTGCAATGTTCCACAGTATGGAGTTAAATCTACTCAGTTTGCATTAAAGTTTAATGTCATATTGTGGAACATTCTAGGTAAAGCAATAGCATCTATGGACAAGCAAAAGGCGGACAGAGAAGAAACGCTACATGGTGTACCTTTAAGGAAGCACTGACAAAATGTTGTACTTCTTACTATACTGTAAGATTATTCTGAGGATGTTATAATTCATGTGAGAAAATTCATTCATTGGGGCAAGACAATATGGAGACAAAATGCATAAACATAAACTGCAGAGGGTATATTACTCGAGAATATAAGAAAATGGGAAGCATCCCAGGAATGTCATTACTTTTAGTTTAGTGGGCACTAAAAGAAAAAAAGCAACAACACAATTAGAGTGTCAGATATTAGCCCCTGTGGTTACTCTCCTCTGCTCGGCATTTTCCTCCTTTAGAGCCAAACATCTGGAGTCATTTACAAACTTATTCAGAAGCCCACACACAATCTGTTTCTGCCACTTTTGCCCCCAGGTTCTTACAGTTCTGCCACAAATACCACAAATCACAAATCTCTTATATAAAGTGAGCAAAGCAGTGAGAAAATAAGCTGTTGAATGTCAACAATGTAATAAACAGCTCTACTATATCTATGTAACCAACATACCATGGATGCTTACTGTGGAATCGCAGATTCTATAATTAAAACCAGTTTGCAATAAACATAAAAGGGCCCTAGATGACCAGATGTGTCCTCAGTGTTTGACAGCTAACAGCATTCCAGGTTCAGTTGTGATTTAAACTTGCAGGAACGCATGTTACACTATTTACTATTAAGATCACTCTATTATTTTTGTTGGCCCTGGTCACAAAATCCAGTTACAGTAAATGCATTGTATTGTTTATAGTATGAATACAGTACTTTTCTTACCGTCTGTCTTTGATAAATGAATAGTAGTGACCAGCGTGTGCTTGACCGCTGTGCACCACAACCCCCACAAGTTCATAGTTCTCAGAGATTGTGACTTTTTTCCGTGGCGAGCTCCCAGATGATGCGTCACCTTTGCCCTCTCCTCCTTCTCCGCTGCAGTCCTGTCGGGCCATCCCAGAGACAGTGTATGGCTCCATGTTTAACACCCACGGGAACTGTTATCCACAAAACATATGAACATATTTAGTTTGATTTGTATTGAAAAGGAAATTTAAAATTGTATAATTATGTTATTTAACATTTAATTTTGCGATGGAAGTAACAACGCAATAAAACCTGAAATGACTACTCAGTGGCTTAACTGATGAAACAGTCAGATATTCTGCTTCAAATTTATTATATGTGCATATTTATTTTTTGGTAAAAAAAAATATAATGCTACACCAGGATTTATTTTAGACAGTGGAAAAAATATTACGTTAGCTTGAAATTAAATTTCAAATGTTATACATTTAAAGCTTTACCCTTATTTGTTCATCATATTTGATGGAGCGACCACTTTCCCAGTCAAAGCCAAAGCGCATCAGATGAATGCAGAGGACACTGGGTAAGGATTTAATACAGGTCCTCTTTACTGTGGTTCTCTAGATTCAAAAAATGTGGATGAATAAGTATTCAATTGTACAATATATAGATAGTTAATCTAAAGTGCTCTACAAACCTTCTCTTTGCATTTCTCACAATAGTAAGCATTGCTGCCCTCTAGCACCTCTCCTCGGACAAACTGGTCTAAAGAGATTTCTAAACTTTGACAAGACGTTACGCCAAGATTAAGGGCCATGAATGTTTCCTCACGTTCGTACCTGTCAAGAAAAAAACTAATTGTCAAGCATATGAACTAGAAATCATAAACTTATATTAACTTATATATTTATAGCACAAAACATAAGACTCACCGATGTGGGCAGTCTTTACAAATCTTTTGATCTGAGAAGATTCCCTGAAATGTGTTTTTAAAGATCTGTTCTCGGCCCATTTTCTAAAAAAAAAAAAAAGTATGGTTATGGTATGGTATGGATCCTTGATACAAAATGATTTGTAAATGATTATGCAAATATAGTTGTACCTTGAGATGCTCATCAAGCTGGTCTACGAGGCTGGTGAAAAACTCATATGCATCCTGCTGTTCCCGCACATATAATTCTTTGTTCCACATTTTGAATATCTACAATACACAGGATTAACAAATATCAAATTATTTCTAATAAAATATTATGTATGAGCTACTGCTTGGGGAACTTTATAAAACCTGTTACCTTCCAAAAGTTCTCAGGGACGTAGTACTGAAGTTTGCTTTCCATCAAATGGCCAAACAGAGACTGAACCTGATAGAAAACACTCTCCTCTGGCTGGTCTGTATCATCCTCAATGGAAAGGAAAGCCTGTACAGAAAACAAAATCTGACTGATGCACAATTGCAGTTCTATTCTTCTTCTATACTTGTGAAATCGCTATCTTCCTCATTAAATGGATCTTCATGTTATTGATATGTACACTTCATTCTGTACAAGTTCCCTTGAGTAGTTCTTTTCTCCACTGTGAGATCTTGTATTTAGGGCTACAAGTTAGGTAGCTGGCCATTATTATGTTATGCTTTGACTCTTTATAAAGTACAGTGTAAACAACATGTAACACACCTCTGGAAGGCCAGGCTGCATGTAGAGTTGCTGAAACACAGCATTCATATAACAAGTCGCTCCGCCATTTTTAAGCCCAACAAATCCTGAGACAGAGCGACTCTCAACTGGAGGAAGATACTGAAATAATAATAAGTAATAACTGTAAATTTGCCCCAGTTCAAATATCAAAAGAAACCTAGAGTATGAAAGTATATTACATCAAATTCTTTGCTGAGGGAAGGGTCTGACTGGTGATGCATTGACAGTAACTCTTTGGTGATGAGTTTGAGGTTTGAGAGTGAGCTGTCTGCGAGCATCACCAGCACCTCGTACGCTGCAAGTCTACTGCTGGCCGTGCTACACCTGCACAAAAAAAAAAAAAAAGAGTAACATTAATTACATAAAACATAAACTTACATTTCTAACAGTTGATGATAAAAGTAAAGGTGAAAGGTAAAGATGCTGTACTTGGGGTGGAAGTCATGGCTTGGAGCTGGAGACTGCATTGAGTTTGAACTGTTGATGATAATGCGTGAAGCCCGAAACAGGAAGTCATCTAATAACTGCTGGATCAAAGATGGGCCTGAAAACAAAAATAGTATAAACCTTTAAGCATTTACACATCTAAATTTAATAAAAGCCGAAATCACAAGTAACCCCTAAAAACAGAGCACTAAATAAACTGTGGCTGGCTGCTGGCTGCCTCTACTACAGTTTTCAAACTACTGAACAAAATCAAACAAAACATGAAATCCAATTCCACAGACACATACCCAGATGTTCCTTCTCGGTGCCACAGAGTGACAGAAGGGTCTTAATTAGGCGCAGGTGTCCGGCCAAAAGAACGTTGTCTGCTTCACTCGTCTCCATCTCTGAGCTCCAACTCGGCTCAAAGTTATCCAACCACGAGATCTCATCTTCCAGCATGGTTGCTGCACTCAGTTTAATGACATCCATCTCTGAAGCTGAAAGAGAGAGACAATATGGGTCAGAATAAGTAAGAATTTAATTTACACTCATAATAACATGACAATGGAGTGCAAGCAAACATTTTGTTCTGAAGTATTTTTTTGTAAAAAAGAAAAAGGATAATTAAGTTAATACTTGACAGAAGGGCTTGTCACAAACAATGCACCAGTTGTTGTTTATAGGGCAACACATAAAGATGTATTAAGATGTCTGATCAGTAGATTTGCTATTACCTGCAAATTTATTTAAAGTAGAGTTAAACAAGAAAATGAGAGCTAATCCACTTACTTGTCAGGTCATCCAGAAGCTGGCATCTCAGATCAAAGTACTCTGTGCACTGAGACAGCTAAGAAGAACAACAAGATCAATAGCAACACTTTGCTGCAGTTATACTTTGACACTGTAGGGGGAGCTACCTCTGATTGACTCCTCTCATGACAGACGTGGGGCTCCAGAGTGGCAGCTGAGCAGTGAGGATGACAGAGAGCAGGAACAGATTTGGTTTCTGAACGTCGGGGAAGGCTGAGGTGTCGGACTGACTCAGAGTGTACAGCTGGTCACACGCCACACGACGGATCTACATAAAGAGAACACTGAGCTCAGCACAAGGAGGCACTGGAGCTGTGTATTGAACAGGGAGTGTAGCTTACCTCTCCACTGGGAGAGCCCAGCAGAATATCAATAATAAAATCACTGACAGCGGGAAGGTTGTAAAAGGAACCTGGACGCAAACAACACAGGATTTAGTTACATAAATTTGAAGAATATACAACAGTAGGCAGGAAAACTGCATATGAATAAATATGAATAGATCAGTGCAGAAGTGCATTATGTGATCACAATAAAACCACAAGCAGTGTGAGACTTACAGAGCTGCTGGCATCTCAGCTGCAGACAGGTCACCAGGAGAGATAAGGCCTCACGAGCGATGATGCCATCTTTATTGGAAACACACTGCTGCCTGACACATATCCCTGCATGCAATGCTGTAGGTGCAGCCTCTCCTTCACTGCTGGAACTGCAGTTACTCCCTGCAAAGCATTTTCTATTTTAATATTTTCAGGGGCTGGACACAATGGATCAAATTAGTGCTTAACAGTGTTACATCTGCTCATTTCACTGCCAAATGACTTGAAAAATTTGAGTGTCTCTTGTCTCTTACCAGTGCTGCTGACTCTGGTGCGGACCCCCTGTGGCAGGAGACTGTGAGTCTCCCTGATTGGCTGTGGGCTCCCAACCAGATCCAACCGCCCGGCTGCTGCAGCCCAGGTCAGGCGCATGAAGCAGGCAACAGTTGAGGTGAAGTCTGCTACCTCCATGGTCTAAAGCCAAGATACAGTAATACATAGATGTTAACTGAGATGGAGTTCATGTTAAATGAATACAAAAAAAAATAGTATACATAATATTGTATAAGTTTATGTATACACAGACCTGTATAGCAACACGAGCAGCAGGAATGATCTCTTCCACTCTGATTGAGGAGCGCTCAGACAGGGACATCTGTCTATAGGAGGACTTCTCTGGAGTGGCACACAGAGACAGCTGCCTCCCACTGCGGCTGGCGTTTCTGAAAGGACGAGAAGACAAAGCATCCCCATCCCGAATCACATCATCATCCAGGACCGCAGGCATACTTTGGCCCACAAGGAGAAACCTGCAAAACACAGCCCAGTTATGATCTGAACAAACAACAGCAGGATAATATTTAAATAGTGCCCTTTTGAACCTGGCCAACTGAAGGCAGATGGAGTAGACCCCTTGTCTGGTCTCGTAGTCTACCTCTGATGGGATGGAGTCTCTCTGCATAACATTTACTACAAGACTGGAAAAATGAAAACAATTACATAAATGATAAGACCACAAAGATACACAATACACAATAAATGTGTTGATTATACAAAGCATGCTCTACCTGAGACCACCTGCTTTCAAAAAGTTTTCACAGAATGATTTGCTGCTGGTTTTGGCCATCTCATCATCAGACGTGGGCATGAGTTTTGAACTCAAAACCTGCAGAAGACAAATGTAAAATGGATTACAGGGTCTACTTTCAATACTTTCATACTGTACCTTGAGTAGCTGGTAATTGTAAATCTGATGCAGGTACCTCTAGGTTGTACAGCACTCTAAACGTGGACATTCCTGGAGCCGAAGATCTGAAGAGGGACTCCAAAATGGACGCTGCACTGGGTTGGTGCTGCTGTTTAGCGGTCATAGATGGAGACCGAGACCCTGAGCCCTGGCCAAGGGTGAACAGGGTTTTCTACAAGAACAAAAACAACATTCAAATCACCGAATACTATTAGAAATACAAATTAAGTATATGTTTAAACAGACATCAGTGTACCTGATGACTCCAGACACTAGATTCTTTGGGAAC